AGGGCGCAGAGGGGTTTCGATGATGTGACTGAGGACACCGAGCCAGCTCGGTCTCAGACAACCATGTGGTAGATTGGAACACTAGGTAGAGTTCATCGAGAATTAAAATCTCAGACCAGTCCTAGCTCGTGTGGCTCAGTGGACTGAGCATCGGCCTGTGAACTAAAGGGTCATTGGTTCGATTCCTAGTCAGGGCACATGCCTGGGTTGTGGGCCAGGTCCCCAACAAGGTCCCCAACAAAGGGCACATGAGAGGCAACTGTGCTTTGATATTTCTCACCCTCTCTTTTGCCCTCCCTTCCCCTTTCTAAAATAAAATCTTTTTAAAAAAGATCTCAACCCAGCTATGTGACCTTGGTGAAGTCACTTGACCTTCCTAAGTCAGTCTCATCTGTAAAATCCAGGAAATAGTACCTGCCTCAAAGGGTTGTTAGATGGATATACTGGGCTGGACAAAACATGTTTGTTTGTTTTTTCCGTAAGATGACCAGTGGCTCTTAGTTGTCTTTAACTTCATTTGAAACAATGTTGTTAGATTGTATTGTGACAGCTGTCATATCAGCGTGCATTTTTTAAAAAACGTGTCAAAATTGGTGAATTTTTGTGTAGCCATTTTAATGTTACAGATGAAAGAAAATGCACATTTTTGGCACATTATGCTTTACTATTTCAAGAAAGGGGAAAACACAGCTGAAATGCAAAAAATGATGTGTGCAGTATACAGAGAAGGTGCTGGGACTGATCAAATGTGTCCAAAGTGGTTTGTGAAGTTTCGTGCTGGAGATTTCTTGCTGGACGATGCTCCATGGTGGGTAGACCAGTTGTAGTTGGTAACGATCAAATCAAGACATTGAGAATAAACGTTCTACCACACATCCTCAAAATACCCAAATCGATAGTTACTGGTGAAAAAAAAATTTTTTGGGCCAACCCAGTGAAAGCACTAGACATAAGCATGAAGCAGAGAAACTGCTCGATGAGTGGTCATTACAGTATTACTCTCGGTGGCCCCCCAAGCCCTTCTTTCCATTACACGCTGCTGCTTCCCAGAGGAAAACCACTTAAATTTGTATGGGATTTAAAGTTCTTTCATGTGTATGAGCCCACTGAACTGGTGGCGGCCCTATGAAGTTTGAACTTTTGCCTATCGCCTACTTTGTGTTTGCTTTTGATGAGGACACTGGGGCCCAGAGAGGTCAAGTTGCCTGCTCGGACCCCACGGGGGTAGGCGGAAGATGTCCCCACTCCCTGTTCAGAGCCTTCTCCACCACACAGAGGCCCTTGGCTGACCCCAGCCCCAGGCAGAGGTTACAGGCTGGGTTCTCTGGGGGAGAGGCGGGAAAGCCTGAGGTGGGAGGGGGTACAAATAGGAGGGTGGAGCCGGCCCTTGATGTGGTGGCTGGGCCCAGTGGGGCTGTCTGTTGCCAGTCTTAGGGCTTGGCTGGGACAGCCACCCCCATTTCCGCTGGTGTGGCAATGCCGGGTGGATCTGGGAACCCAAGACAGGAGGGGTTGGGGAAGGGAGGGGATGCTGTGCCTCATCTGGCCTGTGACTCTGTCACTGGGGTGGGGTCCACTCCTGTCCTCTTCAATTCCATCACCTGATCCAGCTCCTGGAGCCCAGCCTCCCTGCAGGAACAGGCCGCTTCCTCTGAATCGTGTTAACTAGAAGTCTCTTCTGAAGGGTGCTAAGGGGTCAGAAGCAGGTGACAACACTTAATGAGTTGGTATTAGGAGGCACCTCTTCAGGGAGGTTAGAGACACTGTCCGGTGCTAGAGACTGGTAGAGTGGCTGTGCCCAGAAGACTGGGTAACAGGAGCCTCTGGGAGTGGGGCAGGGCCAGATTCCTCACTAACAGACAAGTAACCTGCTCCGTGCAGGCTTGAACTTGGACTTGGGAGGAGAGGGTCCGTCCACAGTTCTGGGGAAACTACTTGCAGCAGGACCAGAGGAAGTGGAACAAGACGAGCAACATAATTTCCAGTGCGCGATGTAAAATGAAAACCCAGCCTGGTGCCCAGAAACTGTTAGAGTTTTAAGAGGGTTTCAGGCACAGCCTGAAACCAAGCTGGGGATCCTTGTAAGTGCAGATCACACGCCCAGGAAGTCGCCCTGAAGCGGGGCCCAGGGAAAGTGAGCAAAGGGTGGGGCCACATGAAGCGCGGCCACAGGGGTCTTCGGGCCTCAAGGTCTCCTGAGCAAACACAGAGAACCTGTAAACGCAGAGGTGAATCACCAACACTTCCTAAGCGGACCGCGTACTCCACTGAGGCGTTTGCCGCTTTCCCAAGTTACCAGTCCACCTCAGAGTGTCCAGGTCTTGCCTTATTTGGAGGAAGAAGGGCATTTAAATTTCATCTCTGGCTTGGGGGAGCTCAAAATGCTGGGAAAAGATGTCATGCTCGGAGACCATCTGGGAAAAGGGCCTCTGGAGCTGTTTCTTTGATTTACAGAACGGACAACCTAGGGTACTGGCCTTTGGCAAGTACCGACGGGGATGGCCCAGAAAAGAGTCCAGTTGTTAATGGGAGGCTTGGCTGGCCCTGCCCTTCAGTCCCCGCCCCAGGGCGTGTGTGGCTGGGAAGCCTGATGACTCCCTTTCACCAGAAGGATCAAAACCAGCTTTCGGAGCAACATAAGCCAGGGGTAATTTTTAGCCCAGACGTAACTTTCTAGTTCCTTTTTCCTACCCCTCATCTCTCAGTTGGCTTTAAAGAGGCCACAGAGAGCTGAAAAACAAATCCAAGTTTAAAGAGACAAGTGCAAAAATGCAAACTGGGCAAAGGGACAGACCCGCCAGCTGGACAAAATGTGCCTGGAAAACAGCATCCTCCGCTTGGCAGGTGCCGAGGATTTATGGGTGCGCTTTGCAGACGTTCCATCACGTTATGAGCCAGCTCAGGAGACCCTCATAAAACTCTTCTATGAAAGAACAAACTAGCTGATAAAAGTCAGCTGTTGCCTATAAACACGCCGTGGGGATTGCAATTGAGTAGAGGATTTATTAGTCTGGGCTCTTGGTGCAAATTAAGTACTACTGCACGCGCCTGAATCGGGAGAAGCAGAGCCTGCGCGCAGAGGGTTGCTCCGGCTCACACGATGGCCATCCATCTGGCCGGCGTGCCGGCTCCCTCCCACATCATTTACACCACTGGAGACCAGAGGGAAGATTCTTGCTGAAATGAAGCTGCTGGGGATCTGCTCTTACATTCCCCCCCACAAAACCCCACAGGGAATCGGCCGCTCTCCTCCGTCCACTGCATGCCCCACACGCCCTTTATGAAAGCGCTTCTCACGATGGGCTTACCTACCTGCCTGGCCTACTCAGCTGTGCGCTTCTCTGACTTATCTTTGTACCACTGGTAATCGTTTCTGCGCTGGGCACACAGGGAGGCCTCTGAATGAGTAAACACCCCTGTGGCAGGCTGCAAGGCACCACATATGTGTTATGACTACCTCACTCCTAATGGCACGGAGGGGCGGGGGGACAGAGCCCGCTGGAATGGAGGAAGGGGTGGGTGCTGGGAAGCACCAGAAAGAGAAGAAGCAGTGCAGTGAGGAACTTACTTAAAGCCAGTTTCTGCCCCAGAGCAAGGCAGTCTTTGTGGCTACTCTACCCAGCTCTCCCTCTCTCTAAGCAGCTTCTTTTTCTCAGGATTGAGGTTATTTCTTAAAGACAATGAGGGGTACTTGATAAGGCTCATACCCAGACCCTCCCCACACATACTGGGCCAGAATTCCTGGGGCTGGGGCCCTAAGATGCTATACCAGGCTCGGAAAAAAAAGACCCGACTTTGCACTGTAGACAGCAAGAGGGAGCCTTGCAGGAATGACGGGGAGGAGGGCAGAGGGCCTGGAAGGGGCGGAGCCCCACCGTGGCCTCTCCTCCCAGCCCCTGCATGAAGGGCAGAAGTGTGAGACTCGGGCAGGCAGCCCCAGGACTCACTCTGGCTGTGGGGTCAGAAGGGAGAGTGACTCGCTCCGCTGAAGCTGCCGAGGAGGCCTCCCACGCCAGACAGGGGCAGCGCCGTGCTCGTCTCTGCCATTTGGAGGGAGCCTGTCAGGTGCAGGGAGGGTCTCCACGAAACCCAACTCCTGTCACAACTGAGTAGGGTCGGGGGCACCTCTGCCCCTGTGGCAGACAGGAAACGGTGGTGTAAAGGGAGACCCCTTTCACGGAACTGAGTGGATCCTGGCAATGTCACTGACGGGCTATGGGCACTCAGAAACACCACGGCCTTCAAAGCACACTTGTTTCCCGGCACAGAGCTATGCACTTAGTAGGTAACTAGTAATTTCAACCCCTTAAATGTTCATAAATTTATGAAAAGCCTTCACGTACCTCCTCTCACTTAAAACTCAACCCTGTGAGGACATACAGTGTCTGGCACAAATAACGCCCCTTGTTTTTATTATGCAATCATAAGCATGTAATTCTGTAACAATATCACACTCAAGCACATCGTATGACATTTTAAGTGACATGTTCAAACTGCTGTGCATCTTGTGTGAGACATGCACGTACCCTACCAACCGGACTCGAGCAGGCGTTAGTTACTTCTGCCGGACCCTGTATATCATCATCTCCATTATACAGATGAAGAGAAACTTAGAGGGGCAATGACTTACCCAGGATCCCTTGCACTGAGACTCAAACCCAGATCTGGGTCACCTGCAATTCAGAAAGCTTGCCCTGAGCTGCCTGTCATCGCACCGGCTCCTTCCCCGCCCCCCAAACCTGCTTCTCCAAACGTGCAGTCTCACCTTCTCACAAGAAGGAATGATTAACAGCCCGGTGCTCGCACAAGGTGCAGCTGGGACCTGGCCCCTGCCTTGCTGATTAAAGTCAGATGCAGTGCAATCACAAGGCCAGGACTCCGCTCGGGTGGGGAGAAGTCCTTCTCTTTCGGGCCTGGCATCCCACTGGCTTTGAAAAACACCTACTCCGCCCGCAAGAACACTCTTGAGGTAGATTTCTAAGATTTCTAAATGTGGACGGGGCAGAGACAGGAAAGAAGGAACCCGAGTTCATTCATCCCAACAGATCGTCTCACTGACAGTAATGCGGTTCTGAACACACAGAGTCTGTCTCCCCAACTGAGGAAAACAGAGAAAGGAACTCACATTTGCTGCCTGAACCAAAGCCCCCAGCACAGCTGGAAGAGTGCTAGAAGGACTCCAGTTATGGCAATTCTCCCTAAATTAATTTCTAAGTTTAAAATGATTCCAATAAAAATACCCACGCAAGTTGTTTTTCTTTTTTTTAATTCGGTCTGAGTGGGTGGGATGCGATTAGCTCACTGGAAAACAGCGTCACAGGGGAGCAGGGGTGGGACAGACGGAGACGTGGAAACAGCCCACATGTCCTTCAGTAAGGGGCTAATTAAATGAAGCACGGTATGCACACACTGCGGAAAACTGCAGCTGGTTTCGAGAAAATTAAGGAAGCTCTTATGTATTCACACAGAACACTCTCCAAGATACAGTAAGTAGGAAAGAGCAGGTAAAAAAACCGTGGATATATTCTACTAGTTACATAAAACGATAGGGCATACACAGAAACATATCAATTGCTGCGGATCAAATCACCCCAAAACCGAATGACTTGAAACATTTGTCACCTGTGTCAGGGACCCGGGCGCAGCGTAGCCGGTTGCCTCTGGCGCAGGTCCTCATGAGGCTGTGGTCCAGCTGCCGGCTGGGGCTGTGGTCTCACCTGAAGCCTCAACCGGAAGAGAGGGGAGGTGCTTCCAAGCTCTCGCAGGTGGTTGCCAGCACGGGTCTCCCACGAGCTCCCCACAGGGCCGCCCCCAGCATCGCGGCTGACTTCCTCCAGGGCAAGTGAGCAAGTGAGTGACGACCCCCAAGGTGGAAGCTGCAGTTTTCCCCAGGCTAGTTTCGGCAGTGACGCCCCACCACCAGCGCAGGGTTCCGTTCCCCGAGCACGTCTGAGTGCAGCCTGCACTGAGGGGGAGAGACCTACTGGGGTGTGAGATGGTCGGGGACCACGAGGGCAACCTCAGAGGTTACCCAGCACTGCACTTATACAGGCAAAGAATATTTTGGGAAGGAAACGCCAGAAACGTTAAGAATTGGTTGTCTCTGGGAAAGGGAACTGAGTAACGGGGGGGTGGGGGGACTTTTCCGTGAATACGCTCTTACACCCCTTGAATGTTGTGTAAAGCAACAGGCACTCCTGGCGCACAGCAAACTTGGCCGAGACCCCCCCCCCCGCCCGTGGAACGCCCTGCACCCCTCTCCTAGCGCCGAGGGACACCAGCCTCGGGCCCGCCTGGCATGTCACTGTGAAGCACTGTCACCAGCGCTCGTCCTCACCTCTCTTCTCCCACGGCACCTGTGTTTACCTCAGACACAACACTTTCATCGCTGTGACAGAATTTAAACCTATTCAGTCAGTCTGGCCCCTGGATCATGGGCGTCAACATCACCTGGAGCCTCGTCAGAAAGACAGAATCTGAAACCCCAGCCCAGAACTACAGATTCAGAACCTACATTTTAACAGGACGCCAGGGATTTAGACTGTGCATTAAAGCTTGAGAAGTGCTGGTCTGAATCTTTCCCCTGGTTGAAGTACAATCCTCTCGAGGGCTCTCCATCTTGGTCCCTAGAGCACATCACACAGCCCAATCACCCGACTCTGGGCTGGGGCGCTCCCACCCATGCAGCTACTCCCAGATCAGAGGAATGGGGTTGCCAGCAGTGGTCGTAAAACCCCCGCCATTTCAGGGGTCCCCCTGGCCCCAGTTACTCCCTCTCTGACAGAGCAATAGGGGAACGAACGCCTTCCAAGCAAAGCCTTCAGAACCGTCCATGCCGCACCGGCTCCCCCTGGCGGCAGGCTCTGGGAACTGAAACGGGCTTGCCGATAAGGAGCTACTGCAATCGGAAAACAATGGCTGTTTTCTGCCAACATTGCCCTTATTTCTTTAAATCATCGGTCACTTTCTTGTTACTGACAGAATGTTAGTTAACAATGTTACTGTCAGAATCGGTTACTGACACGAACACACAAAACCAGGCCTTGGTGTCAACCAGGCTCAGAGCTTTGGGTGAGGCTGAGGGCGGGCCACCCTCTAACCTGTCCTCTCCTTCCCTACCCACCACGTCACATGGCTCCTCACCCTGGTGTCTGGCACTGCCTTCCCTGCACGCTTGGCCTCCACCCGCTCCCCCGGGCCTCAGGAAAGAGCGAGGGGTGGCCCGAGTCCCCTCAGCTGTGACCTGGCAGGGAGAAGCCCCACTGTCAGAAACACCTGGCACAATTCTCCCAGGAGCCAGTCCTTGGGCTCTAGACCATTTTTCCAGTATGTCCAGTGGCGACGTTCACGTGTCTTCAGAAATGCCACAGTTCAGCTCTGTCGGTCTTTAACTGTGCACCCCGGGTCTCCGCAAAAACGCACAGCTTCCTTACCCTTCCAGGAAGAAGGACACGTTCAGCAGGACATCTGGAGTAGGAAGAGAGAAACTGAGACCTAATGCCTCTCCGGAGGACACAAAACATCAGACCGATGAAAGCCACAGCGCCACTGCGAGGGCCTCCCCATAATGCTTCCAAAGAAGTGAGACGAAGGGAAGGAGGAGAGGAAGGCGTGAAGGGGTCAGTGGAGCCAGTACCTTGTACCAGGTCCTGGTGTTCATCTTCCGAAATGCAGTCCCAGGCCTTGGGCAAAGCTTGGATGTTTGCCAAGTCTCCCCAATGGATTGAGGACAGGAGGTACTTCCTCCTCAGGTATCTTCCTGGAAGTTAAGGAATGAAAGAAAGGAAGGAAGGAAGGAAGGAAGGAAGGAAGGAAGGAAGGAAGGAAGGAAGGAGGAAGGAAGGAAGGAAGGAAGGAAGGAAGGAAGGAAGGAAGGAAGAAAGAAAGAAAGAAAGAAAGAAAGAAAGAAAGAAAGAAAGAAAGGGAAGAAAACAAAGAATGTTGAAGGGAAGAAAACAAAGGAACAAACCCTGGAGAGAGCTACGGGGAGCATGAGAGTGAAGGTGCCATCATGGAATTTCCCAGGGTGAAAGGCCTGCCAGTCCTCCCCCAGCACCTCTGCACTTGTGTGGGCCTGGACCACAGGGAAAGAACAGAACGTCACGCCTGCCATGCAGAGCCTCACCATGGTGAGGAAAACCAGAAACTAAAAAGAAAGAACCTAAGTGGCATACAAGGTAAAGCTCGGTGGAAGTTTGAGGATGAACTCAGGCAGTTTAGAAGGTAGCAGGAAGATGCCAGTGGGTCGGAAAAGCAGAAGCAAAGGCACGGAAGTGGGGAAACCTGGAATGGGTTCAGGGACAAGGACACCTTCCAGTTTGGCTGGCATGGCACAACGTGGAGGGAGGAGGAAAGGTGGCTGAGGAGGCAGGCTGGGCCAGAACACAGACCCCTGCAGCCCAGCACGGGGATCCTGCATTTTGCCCTCCTCCCAAAAGAAACTACTGAAAACTCCTATACAAGCAACAGGATCAGAACTCAACTTCCTGAAGAAATATGGGGTGAGGTCACTCACTGGGTGTGGCTTACAGGGACAGAAGCTAGAGACAAAGAAAGCTGCCAAGAGGCTGCATGTGATTAAAAGTACAAGTGAGCCCTGGCTGGTGTGGCTCAGTGAACTGAGTCTTGGCCTGTGAACCAAAGGGTCGCCATTCGACTCCCAGTCAGAGCACATGCTTGGGTTGTGGGCCAGGTCCCCAGTAGGGGACGCATGAGAAGCAACCATACATTGATGTTTCTCTCTCCTCTCTCTAAAGATAAATAAATAAAATCTTAAAAAAAGATAAAGACAACAAGTGAGTGGGAAGAAACTATGGGAGAAGCAGCGGGGATAGGGAAGGAAAATACAAAACACAGTAGGGAAACAGAATCAAAGGACTTGCCAGGTGACTGTGTGAGCATGCTCAGAAAGTACCCGGCATGGAATAAGCGCTCAGTAATGTCAACTGCAGCTACAGCTCCTACTGCCCCACGTGGCTGCCACCACCGCCATTGTTGCGATTCGGAAAGAAAACAGAGACAAGGGGGATGATGCTGCTTACGTCTCCAGACCAGGCGATTACACTGGGCTGACTCTACAACGAAAGGAAAAGGGGGCCGAGTGTGAGTGCTAGGTAGAGGCGTTCAAGCCTAAATCTGAGCCTGCAGCTGCGTGAGCAATCCAGTTGGAGGCGTGTACAGGAAAATGCAAATCGAGATGAGCGATGAGAATAAAGGCTGCATTTGGGAGTTCAAGTGAAGGCAGAAACCAGCCAGTGGGTAGACGTGGCTATCAGGCAAGAATTGAGAAAGACCAGAGCGAGATGATCTTTCGTCTTCTACCCTGGGCCCACACCACCCAAAGTCCTTCTTTCTTCAGAACAAAGCCAGGGTGGCCCAGTTGGTCAGAGTATCCTCCCGTAAACTGGACAATCGTGGGTTAGATTCCCAGCTTTAGGCTCATATCAAGGTTGTGGGTTTGGTTGCAGTCGGGGCCTGTATGAGAAGCAGCTGGAGCAACCAGCACTAATCAATGTGTCTTGCACGTTGATGTTTCTCTCTCGCTCCCTTCCCCTCTTTCTAAAGTCAATATGCATGTCGTTGGGTGGGAACTAAAAAAAATAATAATAAAGCCAGGTGGTTCTATTAAACACATTGTTTTGATTACGTTATAAACTACTAATAGCTTTCCATCTCAGAGTAAAGCCAAAATCCTTTCAAAGACCTTAAGACCCTATGAGGTTGAGTCTCGTCTCTCTGACCCCACCTCCTGTTAGGCTTCCCCTCTGCTCTGCTCTGGCCACACTGCCCTCCTCATTATTTCCAGAACCTATCGGGCATGCGCTCACCTCAGGGCCTCTGCGCTTGATGGCTTTTCTCAAATGTCCCTTTCTCAGTGAGGCCTATTCAAGATCACAATCCCGCCCTCGCCCCCTCTGCTTTATTCTCCCCCGCAGCACTCACCACCGCCTGGTGTTCTCTATGCTTTCCTTTTTTATGGCCTACCCCTCAGCCACCACAACAACGTCTGGCCGGGAGTAGACACCCAACAATTGAGTTGAGGAATAACTGTGGGGAGAACCCAAGTTCAGAAGCCACAGAGCTGCCCCGTACTACACAATTTTGTAATCCTGTGAAGACTGAAACTAAAAGGCTTCCTGGAACAGCTCTGGACACTGTCTGGCACTTGCACAAAGGATACGAACTTCGATAATGTCTCTCAATATCTTGCAACCACTCCAGCATCTCAGCCACAGAGGGGCTCACAACTGAAGCCTGCAGAACAGCCTCGATGCTGATGGCGTCTGCGTGCTTTTCATAGACCTGAAGTACTTGTTCCACGTGGCTGCTGACTGTGTCTCGCACCTTGAGGAGGACAGCTCTGGGGGAAAGAGTCTGATATTAGGCATTATCATGAGAAAGGCCGAAGGCAGGTTCCTCACCCTGGCACACTGGCATTTCTGACCAGGTGACTCTCTGTGGTGGAGGCTGCCCTGCACTTACTAGCATCCCTGGCCCCTCCCCACCAGATGACAGAGCCAAACCACGCCCCATTCTCTCCAAGTGTGATGATCAGTAACATCTCCGGATATTGCCAAATGTCCCAATGGGAAAAACTGCCTCCAAAGGACACCCATTCATCTAAGGAGATTGGTGACGGTGCCTTGAAGGTAGGGGTGACTCAAGAGTTAAAGCTGTATCATTAGCCCAACTGGCAACGAAAGTAAAGACCAAGGGGCCCATCTGGGACTGCCATAAAGCTATATAAGAAAAGCAACTGCTCAGAGAGTCCCATGCCACATACATGAGAACGGAGTAAGCAGAAACTGAGCATCAAGTCGGTACTATCTGCATCCCACCTAGCCCCGCCCCAGGACATTTCTGAAGAGTCAGGTTTGGATTCTTGGTACACACAGGCTCCTGTGAACTGAGAAAGTTACTTATTCTCCACTGCACACAAAACCAAAATTTGTGCTTGCTGCACAGCCAAGAACCTAGATCATTGAGACTGGCACAGAGAACAGCTAGTGAATGAATGCAAACGGTAACTGGAGATTAAATGCAACAATGCATAGAAAGTGCTTAGAGAAGTTCCCAGCTCACGATAAATATTGTTATTATTCCACTGGTGACTTTGAGGGGCCCGGCCACCAAGACAAAGGTTACAATTTCCCAAGGGGCAAGGCATTCCTTGGCTTAGAACTGTGGCCTTGAAAAAATGTTTGACCCTGACCCACAATTTAAAAATAGACTTAAAACAACAGCCAACTATCCACACAATTTAATTGACTATGTCTTCTGCTCAGCTAAGGAACTAACTCTGGTTCACTGTGTATTCCCAGCACCCTGTGCTGGGCAGCCCATTGGTGCTTAACAAATGTATTTTGTACAACTGAACACAAAGAAGGTCTCCATTTTTGACAGTTTTGTATTAGTCTATGGCACATAACCCTATATGCTAGAACCTTCTTTTGTTCTGGTCAAGGAAAGGTCACATGTGTCCTGTCTTTTCTCTACCCTCCTAACCTGTAACTCTGAGATGGGGAGTCTGATGTTAGACTTAATAAGGGCCGAGAGATATGCTTGCCCCTACCCCTGGGCCCAGAGATACCACGTGCAGCAGAACAAAGAGCTCTGGTCTTGGTGTCAGGCACACTTGGGCTAGGATCTCAGCTTTGCTATTTACTAACTGTGAGTCCAGTGAGGCAATCAGCCTGAGCCTCAGTTTCCTCACCTGCACAATGGGATTACATGAGACTAAACCACAGAGGTTTTGAAAAGATTCTATGCAATAATGTATATAAAATATTTAGCTCTGACTTCCACCAAGTATACAGCTGACCCTTAAACATGGGCTTTAATTGCACAGGTTCACTTATACATGGATTTGCATTGTTCAAGGGTTAACTCATGATTGGGAATCCGTGTCCTGGGAGGGTGAACTGGGGTTATATGTAGATTTTCATTGCACTGGAGGTCATCGCTTACCCCTGTGTCATTCAATAGTCAACTGTAATTTCTCCCTGCATTTTACCAAAGAAAACTATACAGAAGAAGTAATAGGCACTCTCCACTGCTTCTCTGTCTTACTTTTTAAACTTCTACTAAGCCCACCACTGCCATGCCCAGCCTCTGACAATGGAAATGACAGAAAGTGGTTTTACTTGATAGGGGTCCCACTGCCAACATATGCAAGGGAGGGAAGGTTGAGACATCTCCAAATCCCATGCTGTCAAGTAAAAACCCTGACCTTGACTGATCCTAGCTACTTAGAGGACACCGGGTTTTGAAATCTTTCTCCCAAGAAAGGAAGCCAGGGAGCCTCTTACAGCTTCTCCCCTAGCTTGTCCAGGACGGTGTCACCAGCCTCCAGCTGCTTGCGCCTCAGCCGTTCCTTTAAATCTGGGAAGGCCCGAAGCGACGGCACCTCCTCAAACCGCACACCCTGCGCTGCCTGCAGCTGCTCCGCCAGATTGCTGAGGGAGGCCAGGAGGGGCTGGCAGTCCATCAGAGCGCCCCGCCACAGTCCCTGCTGCTCCTCCACCACCGGGAAGCACTTCTTCAGGGCCTCCTGCACCGCAAGCAAAGGCCGATCCTGAGTCATCTGTTGGCGGGGAGGGAGGGAGAAACAGAAAGAAAATAAAGAGCATTCGCATCCTAAATCGGTAGGGAGGTATCGGGTCGAGGGTGGGCGTTAATTTCGTTCTCAGATGAGTTTCAGTTAAACCAGGGTTTCCAAGGTAGGGCTGTCTAACCCTTCCCACAGGAGTGCCCGGCTCGAGGCACTCTCTTACCTTTATAGGGGCTCTCGGAAGTCAGGGCTCGCGTCTCGCAGCTCGGGAAGTGTTTCCGAGTCGGGAATCCGACTATCCCCAGGGGGAGGCCCTTCTGGGCCTCGGCAGTCTCCTGCTACAAACTGCGGATTCCCGGGTCCAAGCCCGGTTTCCCCCGCGCCAGACGTACGTTTCAGGAGCTGGAATCTTGCATTCCTCTCTTTGAGATTGCCGACCGCTACCCTTAAATCTGCGGGAAAACTTAAAGCTTACTGCGATCTAAGCTCGAAAACGCGCCAGAGCCCACCCACTTGAGCCCGTAGTTGTCTAAGCCTAGCCCCCTACCCAGTTAAGTCGCGGAAATGTGTCGTTACAACAATGCTTTCTGGGTATTGTAGTCCTGCGGGTGAGCTGGAGACGGGATGCGGAGCTTCCTTGTGATTGGATGTTGTGGACCTTCCTTGTAAGATGGCGACTTCTCATTCGTCAGCCTGTGGCAGTTTGAATTTCGTGCGGGCGGTAGCACGTCCTGTTAGCCGCTGAGCCGCTCTCTGCGGGCTAGAGCGGCGAGGTTTTTTTTTTCAGCCCTTGTTTTGGGACCCGCAGGTACGTTCCACGCAACCTCTTTTACGCCCAGCCCCTGAAGGTCGGCCCGCACTCCACGAACCCTTTGGGGCGCCCCTTCGCCCTCTCCCGCCTCTTCGTGGCCCCCTACTTTCCCTTCCGCGTTTCCGCTTCTAACCCCCTGTGGCTCGGTCTCCCACTCCCCGCAGCCCCCACCGAAGCGCCATGGCTCCGGCTAGGAAGGGCAGCAGTGGGGTGACCAAGGCCAACTCGTTACGGAGCCGGAAGCTCGCCTCCTTTCTTAAGGACTTCGATCGTGAAGGTAAGGGGCCGCGCCCGGGTCGCGACGGCTACCTGGGCCGATCGCGGGGTGCTGGCGGATTACGCGGGCAGCACGGATCCAGGTTCTATTCACCCACCGGGTGACCCGTGTTCTGTCGACTTTGCCCTATCTCAGTGCAAATACGATCCAAGCAGATTCAGTCGGACAAGCTGAACCTCCTCAAGGAGCTAGACAACATGTACAACATCGAGATCCTGCGGCTCCCCAAGGCGCTGCGCGAGCTGAACTGGCTCGACTACTTCGGTAAGCGCTGCTCGAGTTTCCCCGAACTTCGGCCTGGAGCCCCCGCTGTGGTCACGGTGACAGCCTTCCCCTTAGTTAGGTCTCCCGTGATCACCGTTAGAGATAGCAGACTTAATGCTTCCCGCCACTGCCCATCTCACTTCCCTCCCTGCCTTTTAAAAAATCTTAGCACTTCGGTCATCTACTCCTGCGGGTAATCAAATGTTTTCTCTAAAAGACCGCATAGGAAGTATCTTAGGCCTTTTGAGCCAGAAGGTTATCTGCCCAAGTATTCACTCTTGCTGTCAGAGTTCCAAGCCGGTTGTAATGAGTGGACATGGCTGTATTCCAATAAAATTTATGGACACACTGAAATAATAACTTCGACATAAATTTCATGTGTCAGGAAATAATCTTTTTTTGATATTTTACCCAACCATTTAAAAATAAATGAGTGAGAATACCTTGGCTTGTTACCAGAGCTCAGATGAAAGGATAGGCTGCTTATGGAAACTGCCAATTTAAAAAAGTGCAAATCAAATTGTGAAATGCAAGGACCCTAGAGTTTTCTTGGCCAGAGAAAAATCCCAGCCTGTGCCCCACCCCCTTGTTAAATGTCCAAGGAAATGCAAGAGGTTGCCCTTTCTGCTGGGTTACCCTTAATTTTTAATCACCCAGTATGTAGCCTCCTTCTGGGATGGAAATGCATGGTCTCCTCAAAGAGTACGCATTTAATGATTCTTTTGGCTTGCCCTTTAATTTAGTAATGTATTTGTACATTTCTACAAATACTCATTGAGCATGTATCAGCCCCAGGACTAGTGCTGACGACACACTGGGGGATAAAACAGATGTTGTACCTGCAATCGGGAACTTACAAGTTAGTGGGGAAGGATCACTTTAACAATTCACGTATGATTATTAGAAGTAAAGTTACAAGTACTGCAAAAGAGGTGGAATAGAGCAGTGCTCAGCAAGCACATTTATGTGGTGCTTCCTATGCCAGACAGCGCACCAAGTGTTTCACACGCACAGCAAGTCCTCTCTTAATGTCCTCGATAGGTTCCTGGAAACTGAGACTTTAAGTGAAAAGACATATAACGAACCAGTTTTCCATAGGCTAATTGATATAAACAAGTGCTAAATTCCTACAGTGTATTTATTTCTGGTCACAAAAAATGACCAAATTTCTAAATGAAGACCCAAAACACTTCTACTCTTAAATGCTGAAGTGTGAGCTGTACATACATTTAAGAAAGATTAACAAAAATAAGCCCTGGCTGGTGTAGCTCAGTGGATTGAGCACAGGCCTGTGAACCACACGATCGCGTTCGATTCCCAGTCAGGGCACATGCCTGGGTTGCAGTCCAGTTCCCAGTCAGGGCACATGCCTGGGTTGCAGTCCAGTTCCCAGCAGGGGACGTACGAGAGGCAACCATACATTGATGTTTCTCTTCTTCTCTCCTTCCCTTCCCCTCTAAAGATAAATAAATAAAATCTTTTAAAAAAAAGAAAGATTAACAAAAATGAGAGAATTAATAGTTTCCAACCCATTTATTCCAGCTCAGGGTCAGAGGGGACCAGAGCCTCTTAGGTACAAGGCAGGAGCCAGCCCTGAACGGGATGCCCCTCCATCTAGGGCATGCTCCTGTCATGCACCCCACACTCTCTCAGACTGGGACAGTTCGCACACATCAGCTCCCCTCACATGCACAACTTTGGAGGGTGGGGGCAACCAGAGTTTCTGGGGAAAACCCACACGGACATGGGGAGAACATGCAAACCCCACAGAGAGTGACCCAACTGGAAGGTTGATTTTTCTCATCAACCTTACAATGACACAATATTGAATGAAACTATGTTATTCAAGGACTCATATACTAACTAATTTTATCCTCCTAACAAGGGTATTACTAATATTATCCCTGTCTTATAGATGGCAAGATTAAAGCACAGAAAGATTGCTTACTTTGCTCAGGCTCTCATGAGCTAGTTAGTGGCAGAATCCATCTGAACACAGGCATTTGCTGGTGCCAAAGCCTGAGTGCTCAACTCTCCAGCAGGAAACTGAGAGTTTCTGCAGGAAGACCTAAAGTAACTCTCCCTTCCACATCTAACCTCGCTCGGGCCACTTCACCCAGAACACACTTGCTGCATGCCTACTGCAGGCCCTGTTTTGCCGGAAGCTATAGATATTCTCTCTGCCCTCAAGGAATTCAGTTCAGAATGGGTGGATGTGTGCACTGCTTTGCATGGCTCTTGGGGGGGCACTGACTCAGCATTTTACAGCAGTCTGATGTAAAAGATGGGGTTTAGGGTTTGAGCTGTTTTGAAGGATGAATTAAGAAATTTGTTGGATGCAGAGGAATACTGGGGGCAGAAAAGATAGTAAATACCAGAGACCTGAGTCACGAAAGACAGTGGCACACTTGGGAAATAACAGGAACTTCCTGGTGTGGGAGAAGGTAGACTAGGTCATGAGAGGTGTGAGTCAAGCTCAGAGAAAGGTTAGACTAGATTACGAAGGTCCTTCAGTGTTGGACCAAGGGCTTAATCTGGTTGTGGGAAGGTGATTTAGCCTTACAATCTCATAGTAACTGGACAAAATGATCTTTTTAAAGCCCTTGGAGGAAGCAAGCAGGCCCTGGAAGAGGCAGCAACGGTGAGTGACTTGTCCTATTTTGGAACTATGTTGGTTAGTGGTTTTTGTTTGGTTTTTTTTGGTTGTTTTTTTTTTTTTAAGATTTTATTTATTTATTTTTAGAGAGGGAAGGGAAGGAGAAAGAGAGGGAGAGAAACATCAGTGTGTGGTTGCCTCTTGCGTGCCCCCTACTGGGGACCTGGCCTGCAACCCAGGCATGTGCCCTGACTGGGAATGGAACCCACGACCCTTTGATTCTCAGGCCGGCATTCAGTCCACTGAGCCACACCAGCTAGGACTATGTTGGTTGCCAAGTATGTAGCCAAGAGGAAACTTGGACATATCTACGGGACAGTTCAGAGTAGCAGTGTTTGTGATGGCAAAAGACTGGACAGGAGGTGGGACAAATCTAGTGCTATACAGTCGCACAGTGGGATATTTTATAGCAGTGAAAACAGATGAGCTACCACCACAAGCAGTGGTGAGAGACAAAACCAAACAAAATAGTATTTAAGCACATACACATTTGTGAAGAAATACGTGTGTACACACCACACCTGCACTTGCAAGTGAATGCAGTGAGAGTGGTTATCTGGAGAACGACAGGGGACTGGGTCGCCTTTGGGGGAGACACAGGGAAATGGGACAAGGGAAGTACACAGCTAGGAGCATATTGTCAGTGCTTTGGGTCTTGGGTTGTATGGTGGGTTTATGGAAAGTTATTATATTGTGTTGTAATGAACAGTCTGTATGTATCAAATAATATGTTTTCAAAAGTAATTGTTTTCCATCTTAATATTTGGTGGAATGTGAGTGGTTTTCTGGCTGTTTTCCACAGGCTGACCTGGACATCAGAGAAATCAACAAACTAACAGCAGAAGCTATTCAGACACCCCTGAAATCTGCCAGAAGTGAGTGCTTCTCAGAGTCCCTTGTCGCCCCCAGAGAGCTGAGGCCCAGGGGTGTTGGCTGGCTGCCGCAGGGGCCTCAGTGAGGGGGCCTCTTCCCTTAATGTCCGGTCCTTGGGCTTATAACTTATAACAAAGTACAGAAATGATCCCTGAATGTATAGTCTTCGGGCTCATAAATCAAAACATTTGATTTGGGGCACTGCCTTCAATTAATTGTATGCTAGGCCAGTGCTAACCAATCTCCCCAGGCAGACGTGTGAGCAAAAGTGAAAGGAGAGAAACAAGCTGCGCTGCCAACCGAACATGCAGTCTGCTCGCTTCCCCTGGGTTGGAGGGGTTAGCGCGATTTCCTGAGCTGTCGCTGGACGTGGCCATACCAGCTGCGACTCCCTGATCAGAAAGGTAGAGAGAACTGTAAAAGGACTTTCTCAGCATGTTCACTCCATGTCGCTGCATTCAGTGACCCACCATGTAAATGAGTCTCTCACGCATGCGCCCACACTGAGAAACACTGTCTTACAGGGAAGGTTTGGGGGGAGCCAGTTTGTAATTAGCATGGCATCAGGCCAGGATGAGCTCTGTTATGGACTTGAGGTCACTGTCGTTAAGCTTTGGTGGTTCAGTGCAGCCAACTCCTGTGAGTGAGACTGTCTGACCTTGGATTTCTGGACTGCCCACGTGGGCACTTGCTCGGCTGGGCAGAGCCAGAAACACTGTCCAGTTCTCATGCCAACTTGGCTTCCATCAGAATTGCTTCGTGGTATGAAGAATGCATGGTGTTATATTCCAGTTCTGCCCACCAGAGGTTGTAATGTAAGTGGATTTGGCTGTTCCTAGAGTTTGTCAGCCCCATATTTACGATCTGTTAGGTCCCTTTGGGATATTCCTACATTTAGGTAATACCAGTTTCCTGTTGGAGTTCCATCAGTTTTGCTAACTTGGGTGCAGGCATGTCTTCTGATTTCACTCCTTGGAACCGAACACACCAGAATCAGGGTCAAGCAACAGTAGAAAGTGTCTGAAAGGTCACGTGGTCTGATTTCTCTCTCCCCCTGTGAGTAAGTACGGAATTTCCTTTATGGAATCCCTGCTCTGGTTGCCTGGCTCCTGGCTGGACGTAGTTAGCAATGAGACACTTTCTAAGTTTTCCTATGGCATCTACATACGTAATATTATCACAAATAGTGGAATTTATTATAACATGTCTCCAGTACTATCCAATCCACAAACACTTAAACATTTATCAGGACAATGCTAGGGTTTGGGATATTGGAATAGAAACAGCAAAGACCCTGTCCTTAGGGAGCACACACTCCAGGTCTTATAACATCCATGTACAGTGACCCCTGCCTGTTACAGAGGAGGAGACCGAGGTGCTACCCGGAAGCCGCGGGCCTAGTTTGCGGAAGGGCCAGAGTGCTGGGCCGACCACACCGGGTGTCGCAGGGGTTTCTTAAGCACTCGGTCAGTTTCCTTGATCTAGGCCCTCTTTTTAAAAAATCATCTTTATATCGGGTCTGTTTCTTGCTTACAGCCTAAGGTTGCGTAAGTGTTCTTCCCTATAAGAAATGCGGATGCATGAGAGTTTATTCCCGTGAGAAATATCACTCTGTGAAACTGTTTCTTGTAGCACGAAAGGCGGTGCAAGTGGATGAAATGATAGAGGAGGAAGAAGAAGAAAAAAAAAATAAGAAACTTCAAACTGCCAAAGTAAGTAGGTACTCAGATTTAGGGCCGTGGGCTGGCAGATGAGGACATACAAAAATTCTTAAAATACAGTGTTGCCTTCCCAGAGTTTGCAGTTTAATAGAGACGATCCCACTGAAGTGGCTAATAGCAACAGTAATCATAGAGATATGCAGAAAGTGCGTAAATGTGGAACAGGAAGCTATTAAGTCTTGCCTAGTCCCTTAAGACACAACCAGGCCTTTAAGGTTAGTGAGATTTCATTAGCTAGAAAAGAGAGGGAAGGGAATTCCCAGAGGAGGCATGACAGTGCCACTAAGGCACAGGAAGCAGCGTGGAACGGCTGGGGCACAAGCTCTGAGAGCAGCGTGCGTGGGGCAGGGGCTGGTTAATGGCTGGCCTCGTGCACCAGGTGTGGGCGTTCAGTGTCTTCAGGTAGATAATAGGAAGTGACACGACCAAATCTGCACTTCAGACCAGTGCTCGGGATAAACGGGAGAGGGGGCACACTGCGGACAAGGAAACCAGTGGGGAGGCTTTGTAAGTCTTGAACCGAGGCTCTGACCCCATGAAAGGAAAAGGTGTTGCGGTAAGATTTAAAAGGGAGAGTGGGCAGGATTGGTGGAGGGAAGGAGAGGAACCGGAGCTGACGACGTGGTTCCTGGCACAGGAGGAGGAGTGGTGTGGGGTTCGGGTGAACAGGAGCAGCTCGTGTGTCAGTTGTCTGGCGTGCTGAGTGTTCAGTACTTCTCTGGGACGTGTAGCCTGGATAGAACTTTCAGCGGGAGCTCAGGGAGGAGGAGGTTGAGAGCCACATTGACATCTAGGCCTTTGGGTGGTCCCGTGTGGGGAGTCAATGAGGTCCAAGGAGAGCATGGAGAGGGGGTGAGGGAAGAGAGAAGGAGCTTGTGGGGCAGACTGCAGAGGGTCGGCACAGGAGCAGGGGAGGTGGGTCAGTCTTGGAAGGTGAGGGGGGAAGAATCATCAGAAGATAAGGGGCGATTCCTGGCAGGTGCCTTTGAAGACTCAGGAGGGGTGAGGACCGAGGATGGTTCCTTGTACTGGGCACCTGGGCTACCCAGAGTGACCTTTGCCTTGACACACTGTGTAAAGGTGGGGAGGGGGCTGACCAGCCCTGCTGCACTCAGTTCAAAAACCCTTTGATGCGGGGATTTTGGCCAAAACCAACTATGTTCTGAGTTATTTAAGTCTGTGAGATAGACCTTCTTAATTAGTGTTCTTTTCCAGAGTGGCTGTCCTTTCTCTTACCTTTCCCTTCGCAGGAAAGGCTTTTTGTAACCTTTCATTTGCTTGTGACTTCAGGTCAAAAGGTGTCCTCCATCCAGGAAGAGAACCCAGTCCATACAAGGAAAAGGCAAAAGCAAAAGGTAAGGGGCCTCCCAATTCAGCTGTGTTGTTGGTTTCAGAGCCATGTTCATTGTGCAGCACCAGGGGGGAAGGCTTTTGCACCTTGTGTTCCAGAAGAGCTTAACGCCAACAGGTCCTCGAGTGTCTAAACGGAGGGCCCTCTAGACATGACCTGACCCACCACCTCTTCCAGCTCTTCTGCCCACATTCTCCACCCTCCCCCACTGTTTTCAATACAAACAGGGAGAATGGGGCCCAGAAACATATGGTGGGCATTGCAGATTATTTTGTGGAGCCGCCTGACAGTCCCTGTGCAGAGCTACCCCATCACAAAGTTGCTGTCACTTATCGATAGTTAGTTCTTGAAATGTTACTATGTGGGTACTCAGGACAGTGTCTGACAAGGTCAGTGCTCTCCAAGTGTGACCTGCCCCTGCTGCCGCCGCTGTTGTTGCACCCGAGTGGCCGCGCCTCACAGCCGTTTCTTACCTGCAGGTCAAGCAATTGTAGCACTGTCACCCCGGCTGTGGGCCGGATGGAGCTGTCGATGGTGAAACCAACTCCAGGCTTGACACCCAGATTTGACTCAAGGTGAGTACTGAGGGCTGGGCTTGGATTTGGGTGGGAGTCCAACATTTAACATCAGAAAAGCAGGGTAGTAACTCCTGACTCCTTGGCCTGGGAGGCCTTCTCAGAGGAGGGTGACTTCTGAGCTTGCTGCTGATGCATTTGCCTCGCCCTTGAGTGTGGGGCGTGGGGGGGTTGTCAGCAAGGCAATGATTCCTTATCTGATGAGAGACAGAGAACATTGTCTCAGATGACTATGCAGCCTCTGCTGACTTTTGGTCTCTTCTGATTCTGATCAAAAGTTTTGTTTTTTAAATAGGTAGGCATTCTCCTATATCCTTGAGGAACATTGATGCCCTCTTTTGGGAGACGAGCATAAACAAGGGTGTTCTTGCAGCAGGCATTTATCCCTTCTCTAGGGCAGGTCAACTCAACAGAAAACGCTGTGTAGACATTTAAAAAACAGATCTGTGTGTGCTGGTGGGGGAGGGGGCAGCTTCAGGGTTCCAGGCATCTCCAAGCAGTTGCAACACAGCGTGTCCCTAATGGTCCCATTTGTGTTTATATAGGTGGAACATTCTGGAAGGATGCAGAAGGAATTAAGGGTAGTTATTGCTGGGGTGGGGGGAGTGAGGAAGACTTACCTTCTGCTTTTAATTCCCACTCTGTATGTTTTTCACATGAGCATACAGCAAAGTACATTTCGGGGAAACCAGGCAGCAAGCAGCGTTTTAACTGTCTTGAGAAAGTCAGTTTGGGAATTAATATAAGGATGTGATCTCTGAATCCTCCTTTGACCCTGGAAAACAGCTCTTGATAGAAGCACTTAACTGTACTTGCAAATACATTAACCATAGTTTATTTCTGGATGGATGGATGGATGGATGGATGGATGGATGGGTGGATGACTGGCATTTGTATGGCGCTCTGGACCTAAAACTTATATGAATAAGAATTGACTTTTGCTAGATGTATGTTTGATAATTACAGTCTCCTTACTCCAGCTGTGTTTAGTCATTACTGCTTAAAAAGATTTTTTCCCCTAAATTTAGAACTTGCCTTCTTAGAAATGTGTGATTTGAAAACTGCAGCTTGAGGCCAGATGGGGTTTGGAAGGGCTCAGAGTGCCTGGTGTCATGCAATCTGCCAAACCATCTTCACAGAGATTTTCCCACTCTGTAGGGTCTTCAAGACGCCGGGCTTGCGCACTCCAGCAGCCAGAGAGCGGATTTACAATATCTCAGTGAACGGCAGCCCTCTAGCCGACAGCAAAGAGGTTTTCCTCACTGTGCCAGTGGGAGGTGGAGAGGTAAGCGTTTCGGAGGGAAACCTGGCCCGGTGTGCCTCGTGGCCGGCATTGCTCTCCTTGGCCTGTCACCCACCACTCTCCCCGGGTTCTTGGGGTTGCATGGACCCCGACCTGCACGCTTGTGTAGGACCCAGAACCTGGTTTCCTCTCCCAGGCTGGAGGCCCAGGCTGGGAATGTCCTCGCCAGCTCTGGGTCCATCCATTCATGGGCCAACATCAGTGTGCCTGTCTTGCAGCAGGCCCAAGGTGCGGGAGACACTCCCGCCCATGAGACGCAGTTCGGTAGTCCAGATGGGGTCACAGTTAGCTTTAACACCACCGTGTGGTGTGCGCGGTCATGGAGACAGAATGCAGGGCTGGGGGTGGGGTGCACTGTCGGGGGGTGTGTGCTGTCCCTTCCTCTTGGTCTAGCTTCGAGGGGTTCTGAAGCAGGCTGAGCCCAGTTTTTCTGGGCTGAGTAGAGCAAGTTGCTGACCTCACCTCCTGGCAGGGAAGGGTGGTTTATCTCAGATTCAGCCTCTCTCAGATGTGGTCTGCAGGGCACTTTGCTGCTAAGGGGCATGCCCTGCTACGGGTGATTCAGCCCCTGACCCAGTGATAAGCACTGGTATCCCTGTATCCTCAGGGACATGGTGACAGCCTGCGTCCTGTCTGCCTTCCTTAACCTTCCCCTTCCTGCAGGGGACCCCCAGGGGCACACCGGGCTGCCGGGTGGAGGTTCCTACCCTGAAGGACATGCAGTTTAACATCCTCTTCCCTCCATACAGAGCATGCGATTGCTGGCCAGTGACTTGAAGAGGGTGGATATCGCACAGCTGGACCCAGAGGCCCTGGGCAACATAAAGCAACTGTCTGTAAGTCTACGCCCACCTCCACCCCTGGGGGGCCTGCAGTAGCTTTCTCTGTTCGCTGTATTAGGATTGTCTTTCAGGTCTGGGCCAGTAATGCTTTGTCCTCACAATTGTGTTGCCTTCTTTCCCTCAAGGGATTTTGACTGTTACCTTGCTTACTTGGCAGCAATTCCATCCCCGAATTGATGTTGCCTTTCGGTCATTCCAGAGTGCCTGCCACAGAGTTCCGCAACAGAAGTGAAACTCTGCCTGGTCCAGGCAGTTAGTCGGTGCCTCTGTGTAGGGCACAGGTGAACTCTGGGAACTGAAACTCCCTCGCAGCAGTTCAGGACTGGGGAGGGGGTGGTGCTTGTTACAAGGAATGCACTGGATCAGAGCACTGAGAAGCCAGGCCCCAGAGCGGCGGCTCCGCGGGTGCACCAGCTCCTCCAGCTCCTCTGCCTTTGGGCCCCGCACACAGCCTCACTCCTTGCCGCAGCAGATGCACTGCTCCAAGAGGCTCCTGCTTCTGCTCCCTCGGAACGTTGGTCTGTAGGTGGCTTTGAGCAGCCACACTTCGGCCCTGTAGCTGTTGCTCCATTGCCCAGCACTAGCTGTCCAGTTTCCTGTCTTCGTTTACATTCTCAAGAGGAAGGATTTAGTTGGCTCAGCTTCGGTCAGATGGGCCTCCCTGGTCTTGCATGGTTTTGGCTGGTGGGTGGGAACACTTCTTGCACACGTGGCTGCCCGTGCCCTGGGGCTCCTGTGAAGGGCACATCCGAGGAAGGGGGCGGGGCGGGCTGCTCTCCCAAACACGTCCTACTGAACGCAGGCCCAACGCTGGATCACGCGCACCACCAGCCAGAGCTGGCGACTCCCAGCATCCAGCTGGGCCTGCTGCATCCCTCTCCCCAACCACACCTTCACTCTCTCACTTGAGATGTTGCTTTGCTCCTTTGTTCAGATGAGAAACGGAGATTTGGAAAGGCGAACCCATTTGTGAAACAGAGGATGGGGGGCTGAGGTCCCCTCTGACCTGCCTCACCCCACATCCGGTGCATGCCCAGTGCCGTCATCACTGAACGAGGCGTTTTCTTTTCTTTTTAGAGCCGTCTTGCCCAGATTTGCAGCAGCATACAGACTCACAAATGAGGTTGCTATTCCAAGAAGCCAGCTTGACAGGATGGATTTTCAGTGGGCACTTCTGGGAGCTTCTCCCCTTCAAGCTTATGGTCTCTCTGAGTGTGAAGTTCAGAGCAGGAGCGGTGCTCCTCTCAGAGAACTCGGGACACAGGGAGGCACTGCTCCCCCATCAGTTTCACTCTCTGCACCTCCCAGCCCAGGTGACAGACACTTCCTGCTGCGTGTACGCAGTCTCTCTGCCGAATGGTCCTTCGGCTCTCAGAGCTGCCCCTTCCCTCCTCCTGTGATCCGCCTCCCCACCCTGCCCTGACTCCAGTGCGGGCAGCACGGAGAACCTCATGTTTTTGGAAAGACTGGCTACTCGCCCTCGTCGGAGAACCCTCTGCGTCCGACATTCTCGCTGTGTGTGTGCTTGGGCCCGGGAGGTTTGGGCCCAGAGAAGTGAGAGTTCAGGACTGTTGAGGGGGCAGTTCCAGAAAGCTGGGAGGAACCGGACAGATGGGGTCGGGACAGCGAGTCAGGGCCTGTCACCGCAGTGACCGCAGTGGAACACACCTCCCCCCCACGCCATCCCCTCCTCCTGTGGACTCTCACACGTGCTGTCCTTTCCAGCTGATATGTGGAACAGTGTGTTATGTTTCTCTGTTTACCGAAGACCAAAAATTGGTGTGGAGGCGGTTTCCATGGCTTGCTCCTCTACCTCTCTAGCTAGTGGGAATTTGGTAAGGGACTTGTAGGGCTTAGATTAGTCTGGGAATTTGTGTGACTGGCTCTCCACGCCCAGAGGACCCTGCCAGGCCTGTAGACCTTGCAGCGTGCGCTTCTCTTACTGGCTTCACTGAGGGAGCAGGCGTAACTGGTGTGCAGCCTCGCTCCGAGTGTGGAGTTCCTGAGGGTCGGCACTGAGATCCCTGCATGCCAGCTGGTGCCTCCACTCCAAAGAATCATGGGATGTGGTCCAAGAACACGGGACCCGAGCGTTCCCGCCCCAGGCCTGAGGGCCCACAGTTTTCTCACGTGTGGCTCTTTGCTGTACTCTGTATCATTTTGCTTCATGACCATTCTAGTAATCCAGTCCTGTTTAAGTTGTATTTTCAGGTTGTTTTATTGTCCCTACCCTGAGACTTTTTGTACATAATGTTTTCCTGAGTAATGTAATGGTATCTCTAATCTGGTTTTTCTAATCAGAGCTACTGAAAGGTACCTGTTTTCAATAAATTGTGAGTTCAGCCTGCCTGTTGCATCCAAGCTGGGCTGCCTGACCTAGTGGCAGCTTTGGGGTTGAAGCTACTGGGGTGTGGGTCTTGGAACAGCTGCTTCCCTCGGCAGATGTGCAGGTCTCCGCTCTGGGCAGAGTTGCTCTGGTATCTGAAGAAGGGGCCCTCACCCCAAGATCCAGGACACGCAGAACCTACCCCAAGAACTTTCTCCGCAATACGTTTGTTCGGTGAGCTAGAGATTTGCATCTGGGAGGACGAAAGCTAGGGTACCTGTAGTTCGTTCGCCTGTAGAATCTAGTCTCACAAGCCAGGACACAGCCAGGCGCAGGTCACTCAGTGGTCACGCTCTCAGTTCTCAGAGCTCGGGGGTCTGGCAGGTCTGCCTTCTTGGAAGTCCTGCGCTGGAAAGGATCAGCATGGATCACCTAAGCAGTCAGTGGTCATTACTTAGCTCGGTCATCTGGCACGGACAGGTTGCGGGGAAGGACCCTTGGGTCAGTGACAGCATGTGGAGTGAAGGTTACTCATTTCCAGTCATCAAGGCCCAAAACCTGAGGTTTCTACATTTGCCATCATCACCTGGCACAGTGTGAGGAAGAGCCTGACATCAAGGAAACACTTCAGATCCAACATGCTTCCCCAGAGCTAGGCCACCCGATCCACTCCCTGAGCACCGCTGCCCAGACGGCCCCAACTTGGGAAGTGTGCGGGCCCAGCAGGTGCCCGGTAAAAGCCAGTCTTGTGGCGCAGACAGAGCAGTCCACTCTGTGTAACAGACTGACTCGCAGGGTAATGAGTTCCCTGCCCCGGGGTTTAAAGCCCGGGCTGAACCATCACGGGGCTGGAACGTTGCAAAGGAAACTGAAATCTCCCCACCAGGCCACAGACCAAAAATGGCCCATTGACACACATTCAACTGTTTGTTCTTTAAAAGAGTTGAGCCCTGGCTGGTGTGGCTCAGTGGACTGAGTGCCGGCCTGTGAACCAAAGGGTGGAAGGTTCATTCCCAGTCAGGGCGCACGCCTGGGTGGCAGGCCAGGTTCCTGGTGGTGGGAATTCGAGAGGCAACCGCACACTGGTGCTTCCCTCTCTCCCTTCTGTACCCTCTCTCTAAAAAAAATGAAGTCCTTTAAAAAAAGTAAAACTAGTTGATAACATTTTTTTTAATTAGTTGATAAGAATTTAAAAATCACCAAGGTTCACAAAAATGATTGCTAGCCTCCAAAATACAAGATCTGGCAACGGGTCACAGCCAAGGAGTTGAGCAGCAGCTCTCCAGCCCTTAGAGATCCCCCCACCCCCACCCCCGTGAAAGCATTTCTGTTCAGTGACTTCCCTTTGTTACCTGTTACCTGCCTCGCTAATACTTTCCTTCTCTAATTTCACACAGCGGTGGCTGTGGAGCCGTAGCTAAAATTGAGCATGACACCTGTGTGCTGAAGATTTCATAGTAGGTAACTCATGTGGCTTCAGAAATGGAAGGAGTGAGAGACACAGGTCAATCAAAACTGGGATGCACATCAAACTCCCTCTTAACGGGAGTCTGGGACCCAGTTTGCTCTGGCTGAGGTGTCTTGTCCTGGCCCTTTACAGCATTAGGCATTTTCCTAGCCCCTTCTCATCCCCACTGGCATCGTCTTGCCTGGAGAACAAGCCCCATCTCCCCACCACCCGCTTCCCACCGCTGTAACCCACACTGCTTGCCTTCCACACTTCACTATTCATCTTTCCCATAGGTGATATCAGCATCCACTCTAGTTGGTGTTTTCTGACCCTCAGACAGGGATATGGCGGAGGATGTAACATCCCCTTGGCACCAATATACTCGGAAGAGCCCAGGTCCACATTGGCACAATAGCAGTGCCTGCAAGCACATGCTGTGTGTCCCAATGTGCCAACAGGCATCAGGATGGATACGGACAGTCTCCAAGGAGACCCCTTCAAATCCAATGCAAAGGTCATGCCAGCAAACCCACCGGTCTCTACTCTCCTAACGGTGCCCCAGCTGACTGCCAAGGACGAGTGTGGTGGTAAAAGGAGAGTGGGCAGGATGGAGTTAACTGGGAGGGGATGGGAGATGTTTGCCAAAAACAAATTTGGTTTTGGTTTAGTTTTTCACTTACATGAGATTTGAGATACCCAGGATCTCTTTGCAAGATGCTAGTAGGCACCAAGTGGTTGTCCATGAACTGAAGGAGTTTCTGACTTCTCTCCCCTGCCCCAAGAGCCGGGGGGGCCCACTGCTAATAAGGGGTGGGGAGCATCCTAAGAGGCTAGCAGGGTTTTTCAAGATACTGGCAGACACGCAAGTTTCATGGCAAAGGGTACAAAAAGATTCAGAGAGAGTGCCGTGTGATAGATAAGGAGCTTTCTTCACGTCCTGAGCAGTGTGATGGAGACCACGTAAGGAACTGAGTCTAGAACTCACTACTTGGTTTTCCCCTGGGGGCCTTCTCACACCTCCCCAAGGACTAGGTCAGGCAAAGCCCTCCACTGGACTCCACAGCACCCAGGACTTACCCCCACGGCTCTTGTGCATTTTACTTAACTGACTGCCCCATTAGGCTTCCTTACATTCCAGGTGCCGACCGCCTGGCAGATGCTTCTGCTGGGCACGCACTCATTAAATGAGCAGATAAATGCCTCGTCAGACTGGTCAGTGGCCTCCCTGCCTGGAGAAGTTCATTTCAGTTCCTAGCTGTATACTGTACAACCACCTGGTTCTTCACAACTTGCTGATACCATTTAGTGAGGACCTACTGTGTGCCAGGCACTGCGTTAAGTGTTAGGGAGGGAGGGGTCCTCCATTCTCTGGCTTCGTGCCTCTAAGGCAATAGACCTCCGCAGAGCAACACTCCTGACGTCTCCAACTCACTCACTCATTCCTTCCCTCGGGGCTGGGGGAGAAGTGACTTAGCTAATAGAATTGGGAGACAGAGGGATGACCTCTGGCTTCCCACAGGTTTGCCTGCCTGTAAGAAGGGTGCACCCTGGTCTGCCCCCCATCATGCAGGAAGCTGGGTGGAGCTGACTCCTGGACCTCTGGCTCAGCCTGGGACTGGGTGGGTCTAATTCAGGGGAATGATGGGAAATGCACTCTGTCCACGGTATACCACATCTCAGTTATCAAAGGTGTGCATTTTACACATTTTTAGTAGTATCTCTGAGGTTGGGGTGCATCTTTCAAGCAGATCGCATGATGTGATTTAACTGGCTGGGACATTTCTGCATGGTGCATCTGACCCTCCATGGCATCTTAGACTCGAAGGAACCTGGTAAGCAGCACTCTCCAGTCTGCCTTAGCAAAGGGCGGGGTCTCCATCTGCCCCAGGGAATTGATGCTCGGTTGGCTTTGAGCGCAGGGGCAGAGGAAAGGGTGTTAATGATTGCCACCCCTGCCACCCAATCCCATCACTAAGCACTTTCTGTGGCCGGGACTAAGCAGATAAATATGACACCTTCTCCATACCAGGAACATGAACGGCCCAGCCAAGCTCAACAGAAGCACTAGAAAGTCAACTAAGGACAGCAAGGGCTCATGCAGTACAAGTGTGTGTGCGTGTAGTGTGTGTGCACAAGGCATGGGTGTGCACTCGTGAGGGCTCAGGCGAGGCGCCAGCACTCCTCAGCCCACACCCCTGCCCCACCCTGGTGACCACCTCACCCCACCCCCTCTGTCCTCAGTAGCCCCTCAAACTCAATCCTCTCACCTGGCCAGCTCAATCAAGGTCACTGCAGTGGGCTGAACTCTGGCCTCCCCAAAATTCGTATGAAGCCCTACACCTCCGCCGATACCTCCAGAACTTGACTGGATTTGGAGACAGGATGTTCACAGATGGCACCAAGCTAAAATGAGGCCACCAGGGCAGGCTGACGTGGACTGGTCCGACGTGACTGGTGCCCTTCTAGGAGAGAGGGGAAGCCTGGGCACCGACACTGACAGAGGGGAGACCACGTGGACACCAGGGACAGAGCCACCCACAAGCCAAGGACAGCAGCCTGGAGCAGGCCCCTCCCTAAGTCCTCAGAAGGAGCAGACTCTGCCGACACCTTGGTCTTGGACTTCCAGCCTCTAGAACTGTGGGATAACAAATTCCCGTTGTTTAACCGCCAGGGGTACTCCGTGACCGCAGCCCCGGAGGACGCACCCAATCACTGCACACCCACACCGATAGCCCCTCTTCCCCCCTTCTCACCTGGCCTCTGTGCATTTAACACCAAAACTTGCTTTTCCTCTGGCTCTGGCATGACTCCATCCTGGCTCCTCTCACTGCTCCCTCAGCTTCTGTCTCTGCTCTTCTTCCTCCAGCTGCCCCCCAGGGTCAGAGTGCCCCCAGAGCTCCTCTTCCTCCACCGGCCAGCCCAGGTAACCTCATTCTCCCCGCGGCTTCTGCCCCCACCTGCAAGCTGATGACCCTCAAAGCTCTGCCTCCGGCTCACACCTGTGCCAAGTTCCAGACTGAGCATGCGCCCACGTCCTACACATCTCTGCCTGTGTGTCCCGCCAGATCTCAAATCACATCCAACACCAAGCTAGTCATTCCCTGACCTCCCCTCACACCCCTGCCCAGCCTGCTACTCCCTCCCCACATGCTGTCTACCTCAGGGGATGGCACCACCACCACCGGAGTGTTACCTCCTCCTGGAAGCCTTCCTTGGTTTACTGCTCCCGAACTGGGTGACATCCTTCTCTACACCCCCCAGGCTACCTCGTGCTTGCCCCCATGGAGACCCTGATCACACTGTCCTGTGATGTTTCCTAAACATGCCCCCCACTAGACTGGGGACCTTCTGTGGCAGGGGCAGTCTAATTAGTCTCTAGGCAGCGAGATTTCAAACACGTACTCTGGAGCCCCTCTACGTGGGGCAGGGGTAGGGACCCTCCCACACAAACTACTTAATGGTGAAACAACTGTCAGTGAAGGAGGCACCAAGTCACAGACAAGTTTTTATTACTGTGCCTTGCATATAGAACCCAAAATTATAAAAACATCTCCAGCACGGATCAAAGGAACCACCTCCCCAACGGGCCCCTCCCCTCCCTGGGTGGGCTCAGACAGCGTAGTGGGGGGTTGCAGGCCCCTCCCGCTGTCCAGTGAATAAGTTCCATATAAAAATAGATCTGTAGCGGGCGCCCGGAGAGCCATCAGCTCCCATCACACTAGCACCCGTGTGGGGCCGAGGCCGGGCCCCTCAGGACTCTGGGACCTCGCTCCAGTGGAGGGAGGTCTACCCTGGACACCGAAGTCCTGCCGATGGGGGCCCCTCTGCAGAACGGCTGGTGGGGAAGGGGACTTTGACCTTCAGAGCGTGACTGCTGGAGCCGAGGCTCCTCCACAAGACAGGACGCTGGTCCTCACGCCACGTCCTCTCCAGGCTTCCCGGGAGCAAGGGTCTGGGGTGCAGAGCCTGCAGGACACCTGGCATGGGACCCTCTAGCCCTGTCAGAGATGGAAGCGGTATCTGGGTCTCCCCAGTACCTCCGGAGTCACTGAAACGGGGCAGGTGCCCAGAAAACAGGAAGAAGGGTGGGGGGACCCTAAGGAGAGAAGAGCTGCCGGGGCCAGGCCAAAGGCACTGCTGTGAGGCACCATCCCCCACCAAGGGGTGCTCCCCAAAGATGCACTGCATCTTCCAGCCTCTGGGCTCCACCTTTGGTTAGCCGCTCTGCTTGGACTCCTCTTGGCCTAGGCCCTCCATCTTGGCCTGCTGACCACTTCGTCCACCCGAAAGAAAGAGCCCTCCCCCGCCTTTAGGGCCCTGTTCAACTTCCGAGTTGGCTTCTCAGCCAAGAAGGCTCTCCAGACACCCCTCCACATACACAGGTCAAGAGAGGGGCCAGCGGCTGCCCTAGCGCACCAGCCCACAGACCCCAAGGTCTCCCATGGGGCCCGGGAGCCCCAAGTTGGAAGTAGCCTTGGGCGCTTCCTGGTGCCTGAGATCATCGCCCCACCAAGGGCTGGCTCTGTGTCTCATTCACCCCTTTCCTCCAGCCCTTGGCTCCTCCTTCCAGCCCGCCCCACCCGGCCACAGGCAAACCCAGGAGGCATGCCGGGAGTAACCTGGAAAGACAGCCCCGTGGCCCTATCCAGATCCAGCTGCCTTCCTCCTGTGCTACGAAAGTGTGGTCTCATCATCACCACTGCTTGGGGGAGCCCTTCTGGACAAGGAACTCTGCAGCCAGCTCAGTGTGCCCACTTCCGTCCGAGGCCCGCAGAAGCCCCAGTGGGGAGGTGCTCCTCGGAGGCTGGGCGGCGGCCAGGGATGGAGTGCTCCCCGGAGCTCCCCTCAGAGTGGCCCTGGCTGCCCCGGGAAAGAGTGGTGGTGTCCCAGGGCGGGACCAAGGCCTCCTTCCAGAGCCAACCTCACCCCAGGGCAGGGCGCTGGGCCAGCTGGTTCTGACCCAGGCCTGGCTCTGGCTCCTCACTGGGCCCTGCTTGGTCTTCCGCACCTGTACACTGAGTACTGGACCAGCCAGAGAGACAAGGTCCATCTCTGAGAGTCTCTCTGTCACCATCCCTCCAGGTTGGACAACAAACTCTGGGGTCCCTCGGGGGAGAAGACATCTCCCCTCATGTCCCTCCCAGGAGTCCAGCCAGCGAGTTTACAAAAGGAATGCGAAGGGGAGGCCAGTGGGGCCTCAGGGAGCACCAGGGCTTGCGTGGCCCCGCCGCCAGGACCCTCATCCTGAGCTGTCAGCCCAATGGCAAGGGAGGCAGAAACCGGCCCCTGAGCTCTGCTGCCTGGGCCTTGGGACCAGTGCCCAGACAGGGCTGAGCCCCAGCACCAGAAGCTGAGGACCCTGCCCCTACAGGCCCCTCCAGGATGGGCTGCCAGGCAGCTGTGGCTGCTGCCGAGCCCACTGACAGCCCAGCAGGGACTCGAGCTGCCTGCTGGCCCGTGGGTCTGCGGGATGGTGGGGCAGGCCCCAGAGCTCCAGTGCATGTGGAAGACAGAAGGGCAGGGGCCTGGTGATTTAAAGCTATGTCTTTCCTCCCCACCCAGCCCCACCTCAGTGTCTCAGACCCTGCATCTTCTCAGGCTGTTCTGTCCAGGGCCCCTCTCCAGGGGGACTGAGTCAGCCAAGGTGTTCAGACTGGGGAAAGTGGGAGGAGTAGGCAGTGAAATGGGGGAAACTTCCCCACAAGTGGAGTGCAGCTTGCCCGGGGGGGGCTTGTCCAAGCAGCGTCTGGAGCCCCCTGGGGTCCTGGCCCAGAAGAGTGAGGGCTGCTCACACCTGCACGCCCTGGCCCTGCAGCTGGAGCACTCGTGCCTGCAGGGCGCTGATCCCGCTGAGGAGGGCCTCCCGATGCTCCGCCGACGAGATGCCCAGGCCTGCCAGGTCCCTGTGCAGACGGACTGGTCAGACCCAGCTGGCTCAGCCCCACCTTTTGCTCTCCCTCTCTCGGCCTCGACAGGGCCCCTGGGTTCCCAGACTCACTGCGCGGTCATGGCAGCCACGGCCTCCAGGCTCCCGTAGCCAGCCGCGGCGAAGCTGTCCTTGTAGCGGCCCAGGTCCAGGGCCTCCAGCCACGCGCCCACAGAGCCGAAGGAGGGGAAGGTGGAGAAGGCACGGTCCGCCAGCGGGGTGGGAGGCCTGGGGCAGAGCAGCAGTAGCCGTGAACAGCAGGGATCTGCTGCCCAGACCCAGTCCCTCTTCTGAGGACAGGCCAGCTGCAGAAGGACAAGGGGCTGGGAGGCGGCTGGCCCCGGACAGGCCTGGCTCACTTGGGTGCTGCGTGTTCTCAGAGTGGGTGCGTGCTCAGCACGCTCACGGCTCGGCACACTCAGGCAGGTACGGAGCGAGCTGCCCCTGAGCCAGCCAAATGGACCAGGAGTGTCTGGAATAGTCTGGGGGCAGGACATACCCAGGACAGTTGGGGAGGCAACCCGTAATTTGGGACAACTCATACTAATTTCACTCATTTGTACTTACTGGAACTACGAATTAGTTAGGACTGCTACCACAGATATGTATCCAACTGTCACTGTCCCTGGGATCTGTGAGCAAAGTCCAGGACAAGCAGAAGTGGCTAGGATGGATGGAAGGTTCCAGGAGCCTAAGGCAGGTGGGAGTATTAGATCTACCTGGGGCGGCTGGTGAGCAGTCATACCAGGACAGGTGGGGTAGGAGGGACAGGGCCTTTGTACTGGGCCATGGGGGAGGCGCCCACGGACAGGTGAGAGGTCAGCATGCCTGCCACGGTTGGGGAAAGGTGGGAATATACCTTGGACAGGCGGCTGTAGCACACTTCGGGGGTTCTGGGTCCTGCACCATCTTGCTCAGGATGCTGTGGATCTGGGAGAACCTGGGCCGCTCACCTGGGTCCTTCTGCCAGCAGTCAAGCATCAGTCGGTGCAGGGGGGAAGGGCAGTTCCTGGGGGGCGGCAGCCGGAAGCCATCCTCCACAGCCTTGATTACCTGGGCCATGGGCGTGAGGAGAGCAGGCAGGGGGCCTTACGTCCTCCCAACACACATGCATGTGCACCCACACCCACCCCGTCCGGGAAGACGCAAGTGGTAGCCAGGCAGGCCTAGAAACAAACAAACAGTGAAGAGGAACCTGGGGCTGGAAAGTCAAGGGGCAGGAAACTGGGGGCTGAGGTCAGAGGGCAAGAGGGTCAGAAGGCAAGAAGCTGGAGCCACCAGTCACTCACGTCTTGGCCAGACATGTCCCAGTAGGGCCGCTCCCCGAAGGCCATCACCTCCCACATGACAACGCCAAAGCTCCACACGTCACTGGCAGAGCTGAAGTGGCCAAACTGAAGCGTCTCGGGGGCAGCCCACAGCGCCGGGCTGCGGCCACTCTGGGCAGGCAGGCGGGCAGGTCAGGCTCAGGGAGGGACAACCCGCAGGTTTCCCTCCCCACGGGGTCCCCGATGGAGCCCCACCCACCACCCTCCCAGCTGCACATCGGGAGAAGGGACACAGGCTGGCCACAAGGTGGTGTCCACGCTGGCATTTATGCCGGACCAACTGGGTGGAGGGGCAGGGAAGGGGCTGGAAGTGGGGCAGCAGGGACCCGGGGGCAGTCCGATGGGAAACAGAGGAGCGGGCTTGCCTGGGGCGAAGGACTCCTTACCATGGTGGTATAGACGGCCTCTGCCCGGTCCCGAGGTCCCCGCCCGAAGCCGGAAATCTTGCAGAGAAGGCCACTGCTGACCAGCACCCGGCGGGCAGCCAGGCCCCGGTGAACGTAGCCCATCTCCGACAGATACTTCATGGCTGATGCCAGCCCGGGCAGCAGCCCCAGCAGCTGCCCAGCCGCCATCTGGCCCTCGTGCCGCTGAGGGAGAGGGAGAGATGGGGGCCGGGGCCGCACGCCCGCTCCCCTGCTGCTGCACGGCCCCAGGGAAGTCACGTCGCCCTCACTAGGCTTCAGTCTGCCCTGCGACCCACCGGGCTGGCCCGGCCAGTGGGCACCTTCTCAGGGGATGATGCTGACTCCAAGTCCCGACAAAGAGAAGAGTAAGGGGCCCAAAACAACAAGGTCATTTCCACCCCCAGGGCCCACACCACTCACCCTAAGGAAGCCGTCCAGGGCCCCAAGGCTCATGTACTCGGTCACGATCATCAAGGTGCTTCCTGTGCCCAGGGACGGAGAGGCACACGGGCTGTCTGCTCCCCAACCGGCACGTGTCCCCCACCTGGCCCTGACCTGGGCCTAGAAGGCCGGAACCACGACCACACCCCCTAATTGTGTCACCCTCCGTTGGGGCCCAGGACCCCCCATGCTGACGGACAAAAGAGGAGGTGGGCAAAGGCCAAGGTCAGGAGCTGCAGTAAATTTGCTAACACAGATCACCCAGGGTCCAAGCCATCCTTCCCACAGAGTGTCACCACAAGTCAGAACCGTAAGTGGCTCACGGTCCGAGGGGCCACCCTGAGTCAGTGAAGAACAGCTGAGACCTTCCCTCCACGCTGGGCATTTAGGGGCTCCCTCTCACAGCTAAGGAAAGGGCCTCGGGGCACAGGGGCACCCCGCCTCCCGCCTTGTTGTTTTCACCCCATACTCGCGGAACACCGGGCCTACCTCGGGTGACGACACCCTCCAGCCGCACGACGTGGCTGTGGTCGAACTGACCCAGGGTGAGGGCCTCGGCCAGGAAGCTGAGTCTCTGGGCATCGGAGCAGCCTTCCCTCAGCGTGTGCACAGCTACAGGGAGCCCCTGGCGGCCGGGGAGCTGCAGGTGGCCGCAGCAGAGCTCCCCAAACCGCCCTGTGGGGAAACAGCGCTTCAGACACCGCCCTGGAGGCTGCTGCCTTGGCCAGCCCGGCTGGCTGGGCGAGCTGAGGAGAGAGCAGCTTCTGGGTCATGAGCTGTTTTTGGCCTGGGGCTCGGAGCTCCTGGGCTCATTCAGGTCGTGATAAACTGAGCACCAGCAGAGGAACGTGGTTTTCCTTTCTCCTGCCCTCTGCAGCCTCAGTTTCCTGCTGTGTGAAACGAGGGGAGGGGGGATGATTCCTCCCCGCCTACCTCAGCGGGAGGTCCAGAGCCTCGGAAAGAGGACTCTGTGTGTGCCAGCACGTCAGGGGCTACTGCAGCCCAGTGTGGCCCAGGAAGGGTGACAATTGCATCCATTCTGCCACACTGCCCCTCCCTGGCTCCTGCCCAGTGTCAAGGCTTAGAGTCTGGTTCCTGGTGACAGTGGCTGCCTTCTCTGAGCACAGGAGTTGAGGGTGTGCAGACAGGAAGAAGCAAGCCAGGAGCTGACCATGAGGGGCAGAGCACCCACTGAGAGCCAGGCCGTGCGCCGAGCCTGTGAAGCCCCTGTGTCAGCCCGTTTGAGGCAGATATCAGGCCCATTTCATAGGTGAGAAACTGAGGCTCAGAGCAGAAGAAGGAAGTGCCCCTGATCACGCAGCTAGTTAGTGACAGAGCCAGAACTAGAACTCAGGTACATCTGGCCCCCGGGCTTGCAGAGGCCCCTCCCCACTGCCCCACGAAGGCCTGGATGAACGTTCTGCCAGCGGCCAGCTCTGAAAGGGCCTGTATGGAGACATCCCAGTGACCCTGGGGACTGGGAGAAGGTAGGAAACAGAGCCCTCTGCCATCTCTTTACCTTGGAGCCTGGGTGGCGAAGGTGCAGCTTGATGTGGAGGTGGGGCCTCCTGGGCAGAGTGGGGACAGGGGTGAAGGTGGGGCTTCTAGAATCAGAGTGGGGCAGAGTGGGGGGTGGGACTTCTAGAGTGGGCGGGGCTGGGGCACAGGCAGAGCCCCCCCTGTCCCCCTGCCCCCTTGCCCCCCCCCCCGCCTGCCCTGCTGCCCCAGCAGGGACAAGGCTTCCTGGATGCCCAGCTTGCCTGTTCCAAGGCTCTTCTCCACGGTGACACTTTTGGCATCCAGCTCCTTGGCAAACAGGTGAACAGCCTGCAGTGGGTCCCCACAGCTCTGGGGGTCCACGAACGTGCGGCGTGTCGGGACTTTGACTGGGAACACAGGGAAAGAGAGAGATGGTCCTGAAGAAGGGGGCTTCCGTGGCTGGAGGGTGGGGTGTGCAATGGCAGCAAGGAAAGGGGATAAGGAGTGAGGTGGGGGGACGCCCACCCCACCCCAAGCAGGCCCAGACAGCTCACAGTGGAAATACAGCTCCTCCTCATCGTGGGCGTCCCGACCTCCTTTGCCATAGCTGCAGGGCCTGGGGATGTAGGGGGTGCAGAGTCATTCCTTGAGCCAGGCTGCCCCAGCCCTTCCCATTTCACCAGCACCCAGGGTGGCACCTCTTCAAAAGGACGAGGTCTGTGCCCCAGGGGAGGGACCTTCTTGTTTTGCTGGTTTGAACCCAGCAAATACATAGGTAATCCTAGCACCTCACCTAACCCCTCACCCCCACCTGCACGCCTAGGGGTGCATGCACTTTGAGACGCAGTGCACCTTCTTGCTGCTGGGAAGGTGCCCAAATCTACACCCCTGACTTGAAGTTCCAGCTGCCTCCCACCCCAGCCCCGCTGCAGGTGAACAACACAGGCAGGCCCCACACGCAGGTCTGGCCGGAAGCATCATTACTGAGAGGCAACCTCGGCCCACTCGCAGGGCCAGCGGAGAAGGGCTGTGCGCTGTGGAACACCACAAAGGGCCCTGACCCCTTCCCGGGGCCACGGGACGGTGTCCTGAGGCAGAGGCAGCTGTGGGACTAAAGGACTTCAGGGCAATCGACAAAGCCGCAGGCCAGGCATCTGGGCCCCCTGAGGCCGGGCCCTGCTGGCCCAGATAAAGGCTGGGCTTCCATTCCTAGCAGAGGAGCGCCCCAAGGGAATTCGGAGCAGGGGCCTGCCATGACGCCATTCGCATTTCAGAAAGATCGTCCCAGCTGTTGCTGTCTCCCTGCCAGTGGTGGTGCTGGCTCAGGCTCAGGCCAGGTGGGGTGGGGGGGTGACAGTGGAGAGGAAAGGGAGAGAACTCAGACATTTAGGTGGCAGGGCCACGGGGCTTGGAGACTGCTAGAAGGCAGAAGGGGAGCGGGGGAAGGCTTGCCCAGCAGAGTTGATGGTGCTACCATTCACCAAGACTGGGGCAGGGTGGCGATGAAGGGCACATGTGTGGACACTTGAATTTGCAGGGACTACGGGGTAAGCAGGGTGGGCCAGCGAGGAGGGAGCTGGACGTGTGTGTGTGTGTGCTGTGGACATACGAATTCAGAAGCTATGAGAAGTGGGACCAGGAACAAGTCTGAGGACCCCAACATTTAGAGACTGGGGAGGAGAGAGGGAAGCCAAGGAGACTGCAGAGAACCGCCAGAGAAGTCAAAAATAAATAAAGGGAAATCGGGGTGGTGATATCACAGGGACCAAGGAAAGGCAGAGCAGGGGTCCGGGGAAGGCCAGAGTGGGGGGACTAACGGAGGCTGCAGGGAGATGGTCCCCATGCTAAGCCCTCAGTAAGCGTTAGATGTTATGTGGGGGGGGGGCATTATAAACAGTACAAGTTCCTGGGTTGTGACAGGGAGTGGGTTCAGGTCCTAGGTAGGAGGAAGGCACCCCCTCTGGAGCAAACGGAGGGAAAGGGTGGCTGTGGAGACAGGCAGACGTGCGGACCTGGTGGGCAGAGGGCGAGGGGCTCGCGGTGCCGATAAAGAGCAGGGCCGCAGGCAGCGGGAGTGGCTGAGGGAACAAGCCTCCAGGAGAGGGAGCCCGCAGGGCAAAAGTAGAAGTGGCTTGATATTTGGGGCAGCGACCGAGTAAGGATGGGGGGTGGTGTGGAACAGAAGCGAAGGTCCTTGGGAGTAAGGAAGTCAAGGAACCCAGAGGCCAGGGACTGGCGCTGGCCACACCCAAGCTACACTAGTCGCTCAGCATGGTGGCAGGACGTCCACGGAGGCGGGGACATTCAGGAGAGGGGGGCAGAGATGAAGAGAAGGGAGACAGGCTGAGTGGATGGAGGCATGGCAGCGAAATCGAGAAGCTTCCCCTGGAAGATGCCCTCCGGCGGGGTGAGCCAGGATAGACAGAGGAGGGAAGTGGAGGGGAGGGGACCATGGCACAGAGCAAGTTCCGAAGAGCCCCGGACAGGAGTGGGTGCGTGGTGGAGATGCTGAGGTCTGCTACACTGCAGCTGCCTGCTGGAGGAGTCTGCCCCCAGGCCCCTTGCTCGGCACAGATGGCTGGTGCTCCCCACCTCACTGCCGTTTGACCTTGAGCAGGTTTTGAAACGCACTGCCACCCCCTGGCTCCCTCTGCCTGCCTAGTACACCTGTCTCCGGGCACTCCCCGGGTGGGTGGCAGCTGCTTGGGCTGGCTGCAGAGTCTCCCCTTTCCTCCTTCGGCCTTGCTGAGCCCCCAGACTCATGGCCAGGACACAGTGCTCTAGGTTCCTGTCTGTGGCTGCTTTTCCAACAGGTCCAACATAGGAGCCTGCAGTTCTGTGCGGAGGGAGCCACTCCTCCTGTCCTGTCCTGCCCTCCTGCCGCCCCCGTCCCCCACCCTCTGGGCCCAGGTGGAGCTAGGTCCCCTCCACCTGTCACTTTCTGTGCCTCATCCAAGGGCAGTCAGTGCCAAATGAATGTTCACTGTCCCCCCAGTGCGGAGGCAGTTCCAGTGCTGACTGACTTGTGGCTCTCAGGCCTATTTCTCTCCTCCATCTCGAACTCCAACCCTCTGCACACAGAATTTCCAAGGCCTCAGACCTTCTGAGCTCCGCCCCATCCTGGTACCTGCTTGGGGGAGCCCGTGCCAGGAGGCTTCCGCTGTGTGCGAGAGGACTGGGATCTTCTCCTGCCAGACTCAGGAGCCACAGCTTTCCCTTCCTCTGCCTACTCTCCTGCAAGCTTCCTTCTGCTGGGGGTGGGGGTTTCTGGTTTATAAGCCCCACACCCCACACCCTCCTCCCTCACATGCGCGCGTGCACACACACACACACACACACACACCACAATTAATGCCTTTCTTCCCTTTGCCCATGTTCAAGGGCCTCAGGACCCCTTGTGGGCAGGGGCTGGGGGCCTCTGAGCGCCTCAGGAGAACCCTAATCACACTAGAGCAGCCGCAGCTTGATTCCATCCTCAGTGATGCCTTCTGACATTTAATGAGTTAAGGAGCTAAATCCCCTTCATCCCGGAGCGGCTGAGCTAGCTGCAGTGCCGGCTGCCGCAGCAGCAGTAAGGGGGGAGGGGCTGGGATATGCTAGCCATGCCTGTATCTCTACAGTGTGCTTGCGTGTGCAAACCTGCATGTGCACAAATGCTGGCATAGATATAGGTGTCTGTGAGCACAGGGACATGCCTCACCAGAGGTCAGCCAAGCTTGGACCAGCCACCTACCTCCTCCAAATGGCCAGCACACTCATCACAGAGCCCAGGACAAGGATGGCTGAGATGGTCACCACAGTGACGACCACTGCGGGGCTCTGGTCCCTGGAGCCTGAGGCAGCTGGGAGGAAAAGCAGGAGGTTGAGGCTGGCAGAGGACGGGGCTGCTGGGTAAGTGTCCTCAGCCCACAGCAGCAGGACTCCCGCAGCCCCTCTGCCTCCCAGCAGCAGAGCCGCCTCGGCAGTCCCGCCAAACCCGGTGGCACCTGGAGCTTCCTCTTCGCCTGGGGCCAGGGCGCCTCCCCCTGCAGCCCAGCTCTGAGAGACAGGGGCAGGGCTCCGGACGGACAGGCCTGGTACTCCCTTTTTGCCTTTCAGCTGCACAATGAGAGACTTAAGGTGGCTCTGCAGGGGGAACGGCCCCTGTCTGAGCTCCCCAAGTACCCAGCGAGACTATTCCCCAGCAATTATAGCAAAAGTAAACATTTAACGCACACTTACTCCATTCAAGACACTGTGCCACGTGCCTGAACTGAATGACCCTATGTCATCAGCACAACAGGCCAGTGAGGTGTCACTGTCTCTACGTTTCAGGTGAGGAAACTGACACAGAGAGAAGTTGTGTCATTTGCTGAAGGTCACGCTGCTAATAAATAATGAACCTAAAATCTGAATTGGATTCCCAAAGCCACTGCTCCGGATTATTTCACCAAGGGAGAGGTCAAGAGGACCCCGAGCTCTCGGCCCTATCTGTCCATCCATCCATCCATCCATCCATCCGTCCATCCATCAGACAGTCCCCCCGGCACTGGGCAGAAAGCAATGAATAGTCAGAATCCGTGCCTGGAGGCCTGTGCCAACCTCTGGGAAAGACAGAAACGGAACCTGAACTGAACGGGAACAGAAACAGAAAGGGGCAGGGCCGAGCTGAGGAACGGTCATTTCCTCCTAAAGCCTTCGCGGAATGCAGCAAAAGCGATGGGAAGTCACTTCCAAGATCAGGCCACAAGAGACAGGCTTCTGTCTTGGGTGCCTTCTTGCTCGCTCACAGTGTCTGAAAGAATCGACTTGCTGTGTGATGAGTAGACCTACGGAGAAGCCCGCGAGGCTTGCCTCCACCAGAGAGCCGGCAAGAACCTGAGCAGGAGACACAGTCTCCCCCCGATTAAGCCCTGAGATGACTGAGACCCCAGGGGACACCCTGATGGCGGCCTCGTGAGAGGCCCTGAGTCAAGTGGCCCCCGGTTAAGCTGCACCTCTACCCCTGACCCACAATAACAAATGTTTATTTTCAGGGGCTAAGTTTCAGGGCAATTTGTTATGGAACAACAGAGTGTTGAAACCTGGTCTTTCATTCCCCACAACCCTGATTTGGGGTCACAGCTCACTGGGAAAAAATGCTGTACAGATTAGGAGGCGCACCCTCCTACCTCACCCTTCCCTGTCCCAGCCAGGGCCACAGCAAAGGAGGCTGGGGCACACAGCCGCTGACCAAAAAAGCACCAAACGAATGGAAGTCCTTAGTCCCTGCATCCCCCGCCCCCACAAACACACTCACTGACTCCGGCCAAACCCATGAGCCCGCGTTCAGGTGGCTTCCTCTACCCAACCTGCCTTCCCCGCCCATCTCCACACATCCACACGCTCCCCAGCCTTGAAGACATGGCTCTAATCTCCTTTTGCCAGCACCTGGCTGAGGTCTGGCACAGACGGGCAGTCGAGCAAGAAGCGCTGCCTCCCTTCCCAGAACTCAAACTCCCCCAACATTTTATCTCCACCTCCCTTTGGGCTCAGAGCTCTTCCTATCTTGGATTAGACTCATGTAGCAGGTTGGAGAGAATTATTATCTTGACAGCTGGTGCCAGAATGCCTCTTAGGGGGAACTGCCTTTGTCCAGGAAAATACTTTCATGAGCTGCTTGGGATAGATAGAGGTGAGACCCTGAGGGCTGGGTTAGCAGCAGGAGAAATGACAAAAGAGGAAGCTAAATGCTCTCCATGCATCCAGAAAGGGAGTTTGGGGGGGTGGGGAAGAGGAGCCGGGGAGGGGAGCGCAGGGTGGGGGAGGTGGTAGGGCAGTGCTGCGGGGAAACCAGAGCCATTTAGGATCCACGTATCTGATGCTCAGCTCTCGTTTTGTTTTGGTAACAGCCTTACTGAGAGATTGTTCACACACCATCCAGTTCACCATCGAAGGTGGACAATTCTCGTTTTGTTGCTTGTCGCAGTCAAGCCCCGTCACGGCCTCCAGCCTTCAGTGACGTCTGTTTCATACTCTCTCAGGCTCCCTTCATTACACCGACAGTCACCCCTCCCATTTGTCTCCCCGCCCCATCCCCGCCCTGCCCAGGTCCACCGGCAAAGGTCACTTACCCTCCCCTGGGGTCTGCACTTCGATGCTGGGGCTGAAGCTCTGGGTCTCCCAGGAGGGCCCCGGGGAAGCTGCCCGGATCTGAAAGACGTAGCGAGTCGCTGGCTTCAAGTTGGTGACGGTGACGGCAGGTGCTGCTGTCTTCACCGTGGAGTAAGTCTGCTCGCTCTGACCCTGGGGAGGGACCGAGAAATGAGGCCCCCGCTCAGGGCCAGCACCAGGCTCCTGGGAAAGTGGTGGTGGGGGGGGGGAGGAATAGGGAGGCAGGAGGGCACTCTTAGCCGGAAGAAGCTGAATCCGCTCATCCTGGGGGTTCCACAGGCTTCTTCCAAAGGATCCCCAACCCTTTCCCCAGGTTTTGGTGGCAGATGACTTACAGAAAAGGTTCTGGTTTGGATGTCAACTGTAGATGAAGGACTCTACAGCTGCACACTAATCACAGCCCTGGCGCTGTCTGGTGGCCATCTCCTTAGCATGGCTTCACCGGAAAACCTCACTGGGGCCTCCTTTACATTCACCCGTGTCTTCGTACCATATTGAATCATAAGTTACATAGGGCTATTTTAATTTTCTGTATTTTCTAAGCCTCTAAGCCTTTCTGACTATATATGTATAATTGAAAAATGCATTAAAATTTCACCTGAAATTTTATGAAGTTGGGGCAGAAGGCTGCCCACACTGAGTGTGGGGGAGGGCTGGCCGCTGAAAGCTGAACTTCGGTTTTGCGGTTTTGCTCCCCGCTGCTGCAGCAGGAAGCTCTCCTGCCTGTGGGCGCCTCCTCGGGAAGAGGTGGGAGAAACTCCCGCCTTGCCCATCAGCCTCCTCTTTCCCTCCCACCCGTGACCCTCACGGAAGAAAAACAGGCATCTATGCACTACAGGCTTATTCAGGTAACAGCAGGACACTGGTTGCAGGGGACAGAGGCACACCAAGTTCCACAAGGACGGTGCGTGGGCGGAGGCCTGCTCTCACACTGGCACAGTGCAGCAGGCTCTCGGACAGTGACGTCCTGGGGCTTCGGGCTGGCTGGTAACTAACCGTGATGGCGTTCAGAGCCCCCACTGCTTGTCACGGGGGGAGTGGAGTTGGGAATTACTTAAGCAGAGCTGCGTGGATCAGCAGGAGCACTGTTCGTGTTTACTATTATTTTAAAGTGATGTTACATATCCTTTCTATCAGTAAAATTGTAACAACAACTCGCACATTCACGGTTCCGGAGGGCCGACTGTCAAACACTTGCCCGCGCACTGCTGAGCCCCAGTGTGCGCCTGACTGCACAATGTGCTCCGACAGTCACACATTTTTGTAAAAGTTGAGATCATATAATATTTCTGCATTTTTTCTTAAAAGAGTCGCCAATTGTATGTCTACCATCGGGGCACACAAAATCTGGATCTGCCCCTGGAGAAAGCTCTTTGTCAACTGTGAACACTGGGCAAACATGGTGGAAGTGAAGATGGTGGCTAGTGATGAGCAGACCACTTCAGGGAAAGAGGAAGAGCAGGGGAGCCCATGGCATGCACGGCGCATGAAGGAACCGCAGCCTGGAAGGCCACTGGGGAGGCCTGTGGGTAATGCTTAGAAAGACAGTGAGAAGGGCTCTTCCCGGGAGGAGACGGTGGAGAAGAGGAGAAGGGGAAGCGGGTGGGAAAGGGGGACAGCAACGGGGCATGCAGCACCGGATTCCTCCCAGACCCTGACTCACCTTCTCGTAGTAGCGGATCTCATACTCTGTGCCATTGACCCCAGGGGGTCCAGCGGGGATAGGCTCCCGCCAGGACAGGGACACACTCTGGGGTTCCACTCGGTCCCTGCGAATCTCATCCTCCTCCCAGGGCCCTTGAAAGGAAGTAATGTTGGATTTTTGACCAGGCCTGTAGGGCAAGGCCGGCTGTGGGGGGCTGTGGGGTACGGGGCTGGAAGGGTCAGCAAGGGGAGATTGGGGGCGGGGCTAGGGATGGCTGAGCTGCAGGGCCTAACCAACTGTGGGTGGGGCTATAGGCTCCTAAGGGGCGGGGCCTGAGGGGTAGCGTCTGTGAGAGCAGAGGAGGCCCCTTTCACCCCCGACATAGCTCTCCACTTCAGTGGCTCCTAAGGGGAAAAGTGCCAGGGCTCCTGCTGCTTGCCCATCCCCTACACCTTAGCTCCCCTCGTGGTGGCTAATTCTAATCCCCGCCCAGCTCTTTCTACCTTTTCTGTGGTTTAGAGACATTAGAGAGTATAAGAGGCAGGAAGACCAGCTACTTAACTGTTCTAATGATCTGGTCAAGAGGTAATATACTCAACACACTGGCAATAAAAGGAAACTACCTGTCCTGGCTGGTGTAGCTCAGTGGATTGAGTGTGGGCCTATGAACCAAGGGATCGCGATTAGATTCCCAGTCAGGGCACATGCCTGGGTCACAGGCCAGTTCCCAGCAGGGGATGCACGAGAGGCAACCATACATTGATGTTTCTCTCCCTCTCTCCTTCCCTTCCCCTCTAAAGATAAATAAATAAAATCTAAAGGAAAAAAAAAATGAAACTACCTCAACACAATAAAAGCCACATCTGAAAAGACCACAGCCGATATCTTTTCTTACTCAACAGTGAAAGGTGGAAAGCTTTCCCTCCAAGATCAGGAACAAGACAAGGATGTCTACTCCTGCCACTTTGTTGCAACATAGTATTGGCAGTCCCGGCCACAGCAATTAGGCAAGAAAAGAAATAACAGAAATCCAGATTGGAAAGGAAGAAGTAAAATGATCTCTGTCTATAGGTGACATGACCTCATATAGAGAAAACCCTAAAGACTCCACAAAAACAACCCCATAAAACCCCGGTTATTAGAACTGATAAACAAATACAACAAAAGTGCAGGGCACAAAACCAACACACAAAAATCTACTGCATTTCTATATACTAACCACAAACAGTCTGAAAAGAAAAGTAAGGAAAAAACTTTATTTACAATAACATTAAAAAGAATAAAATACTCAGGAATAAACTTAATGTCAATGGAGAACATTAAGAAAAGCAAACAGGTACTCATGCCTGAACTAAGAAGACAGGGACCACCCCAGGTCACTGCGGAAAGATGGGACTTCACTCCAGCGTGCTGAGCCCAGGGGTTCCAAGAGAGGAGGCTGGAGAGGCAGCTGGGTGAATCCAGAACTCACAAAAGGTGTCTGGGAGGAAGTACAGAGCTACGAGCCACCAGAAAGTGATTGTTGGATGGAACTGCCCAAAGAGGAGGAAAACTTTTAAGGAAGTAAGCCCAAGAAACAACAATATTTAAGAGGCAGGCATGGGGAGGGCTGGGGTGGTGGGGAGGGATGGGGCAAAAAGGCAGAAAACTGTACTTGAACAACAACAAAAAAAATGTTTTAAAAAATAAAGTACTGAAAGTTAAAAAAAAAAAAAAAAAAAGAGGCAGGCAAATGAAGAGGGCATTGAAAAGGAGGAGCCAGAGAGGTTGGAGGAAAACCAAGAGCCACCAAGGTCACAGAAGCCCCAGAGGAGAACATTTAAGAAGCTTCTCACCCTGGCTGGTATAGCTCAGTGGATTGAGTAAAGGCCTGTGAACCAAATAACCGTGGTTCAATTCCCAGGCCAGTGAGGGCGCATGCCTGGGTTGCAGGCCAGTTCCCAGCAGGAGACACATGAGAGGCAACCATACATTGATATTTCTCTCCCTCTCTCCTTCCCTTCCCCTCTAAAGATAAATAAATTACATTTAAAAAATTAAAAAGAAAAAGAAGCTTCTCTCCCACCTCTTTCAGTTATTAGCTCTGGGTCCATGAGCAAGAGCCTCAGTTTCCTCACCCATAGAATGGAAACCATGGTGACCGCTCACAGGCTTGCTGTGAGAATTTTACGAAATAACGAGTATAAGCGCGAAAGCACAACGCTGACACAGAACGAGCACTTGATGCAGGCTGCCAACAAGGGGGGCCAGTGGTCAGCAGTGTCACGCGCTGAGAAGAGATGGGGGTAAGATGGTGATTCAAAGTGCCCTCTGGCTTTAACAATATGAAGTTCCCAGTGACTTCAGGGGACTAAAGGGGAGTTGATGCCAGGTGGGGAGGGGCACAGGGAGTGGGGACAGGGCATATGTAGCTCGTGCTTTGAAAAGTGTGTTCACACAGCTTCCAGTTTTGAATGGTATCCATCTAGCAGCTCCGCCTCTGGTTTTTCTTGGATTTCAGTTAAAATGGAGATACAGAAAGAGTCAAACACCCAGAACATCACCATAAAGTTGTCTTGACAGCTGATTGCCAGAGCAGGGGAGGGCAGAGGAGGAGTGGAGAGGCGTCTTTCTCCCCGTGATAAAGCCAGTGGGACTCGACTGAAAAGTGCAATTGTAGTCAACCCCAGGCTAAGCTGCCCACAGAGTGACATTGCCTCCCAGCCTAAAAATAATTTGAAAGGTCCTGGATCCTTCCTCCCACTGTCTGACCCTTAAAAAATAGCAAAGTCTTTGTCCACTGGACAATGCACAGCCGTCACTCGGCTGCATGGCTGCTTTTCAGGAAAAGTGCTCTTCCTTATCTCCGTGGAGTGCCTCTCAGCTACATCCGCTTGAACACGGCAGCTCCCAGAAAAGATGCGGCATGAGGGGGGTCAAGGTGATGCAGTATCCTAGGAGGCGGCACAGTCCCTTACAGATGCAGATGGACAGCGCAGATAAGAGGCTAGGAACGTCATTTTTCAAAACCACACTTGTTGAAAGCATCAGATGGCTGGGATACAGAGGCAGGAGAAGGTTCCATTTCAGCCCCTCAGAGATTAGATGGAAGCCTCCTAAACCCTGGGGATGGCGCTAAAAACAGCCCGAGCACCTGCTCTCCCACTGCAAATTTGTGATGAGAGTCACCCAGCACTCACATGGGGCCAGGAGTGCAGCAGGCGCTATGGGACACCTGTGTGACGGCCACGTCCCCCTGATGGCCGAGTGCAGTTTTTGATTCAGGGTCTAGTGTCTCCCCCCCATGACTCAAGTTAACTCCGATCGTGCTAAGACATCTATGTGCATTCATTCCCTTTGCCGACGATTGTGTTAGGGTTGGACTTGCAACCCAGCTCTGACCGACAAAAGGAGAAACCAGCTGAGAGAAGGACGATTCTGGAAAAGCTTTCATGCTCTGAAAAAGGTACCTACAAGAAAGAAAGAATTCATTTTCTGTTCTGGATGGTAAGAATGTGCCTATCCACCACCTATAAAATTCTGAAACCTATAAGATTTTATTAACCGATGTCACCCCAATAAATTTAAAAAAAAAAGAAGAAAGAAAGGGAAGAGGAGAGGGGGACACTACATAACAAAAATACTACACCTTTTTTCACCAAAAAACTGCTAGAACTGTTCAATGAACTCAGCAAAGTAGCAGGATACAAAATAAACATTCAGGAATCAGTTGCATTTTTATGTACTGATAATGAATTATCAGAAAGAGAAATAAAGAGAACAATCCCATTTACAATTGCATCACAAAAATAAAATATCTAGGAGTAAATTTAACCAAGGAGGTAAAAAACCTGTATTCAAAAAATTATAAAACACCAAAGAAATAAATTCAAGAAGCTAGGAATAAATGGAAGCATATGCCATGCTCATGAATAGGAAGAATTAACATTAAAATGTCCATACTATAGAAAGCAATCTACAGATTCAATGCAATCCATATCAAAATATCAAAAATGGTATTTTTCACAAAACTAGAATAAGGTAAAAATTTATATGGCACCACAAAGACCCTAAATAGCCACAGCAAAATTTATAAAGAAGTCATACTCCTCAATACCAAAAAAAAAAAAATCTAATTAAAAAATGGGCAGAGGACCTGAACAGACACTTCTCCAAAGAGGACACACAGAGGTCCTAGAGACATATGCAAAGAAGCTAAACATCACTAATCATCAGAGACATTCAAATGTAAACCACAATGACATATCATGCACACCTGTGAGAATGGTTGTCATCAATAAATCAACAAACAACAAATGTTGGAGTGCGCTGTTGGTGGGAATGCAGACTGGTACAGCCACTGTGGAAAACAGTATGGAATTTCCTCAAGAAATTAAAAACAGAACTGCCTTACAACCTAGCAATTCTACTTCTGGGAATATATACAAAGAAATCCAAAACACTAATTTGAAAAGATGCAACACTCCTATGTTCACTGCAGTGTTATTTACAATAGCCAAGATATGGAAGCAACCCAAGTGCCCATCAACAGACAAGTGGATGAAAATGGTGTGGTACATACATACAGTGGAATATTCCTAGGCCATAAAAACAATGAAATCTTACCATTTGCAACAGCATGGATGGACCTAAATGGCATTGTACTAAGCGAAATAAGTCAAACAGAAAGAAAAATACCACATGATTTCACTCATGTGGAATCTGTAGAACAAAATAAACAGAAACAGACTCACAGATACAGCGAACAAACTGACAGTTGCCAGAGGGAAGAGGGGTAAGAGGGCTGGCTGAAGAAGGTGAAGGGCTTCAGAAGTACAAATGGTAGTAACAAAATAGTCACAGGGATGTAAAGTACAGCATGGGGAATACAGTCAATTATATTGTAGTAACTATGTATGGTACTGGGTGAGTAGTTTAAATATTGGGGTACTTTAAAGATTGAGAATTACATCAAATTCCCTGCCACCGCCGTCAGAACAGTGCAGTTCTCAGAGATTTATTCAGGTAGTTTTGCATGCCTTCAAGGAATGTATAATTGTGCTATTTAAATTGTTCCAGAGGAGAAAAAGAGAAGTGATTACTCCTGATAGCTTTTCCAAAGCCAGAATTACTGTACTGCTAGAACTTGACAAAGAACATGATAAAAAACACTACAAAAATCTCTCTTATGTATGTAGATGGAGAAAAATATTAAAATTCAAACAAATTCAGCAAAATATTAAAAGAATAATGCGATCGTATCCAGTAGGGTATCATGTAAAAATGTAGAGAGTTCACACTGAAAATTCCATTAATAGAATTCATCACACCAATAGGTCAAAGGAGATGAAAACACGTGGTCATCTTAAAAGATGCTTAAGAGGCATTTTATAAAATTAACATCCATTCCTGATTTTTTAAAAAAAATTCACTTAAAAGTAGAAGTATTATATGGCCAAGGGGCTTTGGCGGTAGACAGACCCGAATTCAAAGATGGGCTCTACTTACCAGCTGACTGACATGGACACCTCACTTGGCCTCTCGGACCTCAGTTTCCCTGTTTGAAAAATGATTATCAACCCTTTTCAGTGAGTCAGTGTAGGAAGTCGTGTTACATGATGTGGAACACAGAGCAGCACTCAGCCAGTGGAAGCTTAGTATTTTTATCAATAAGTAAAAATAAAGAGTACTTCCTTATTTCTAAATTCAGCTCTATCAAAAGCAACTGGACGGTTAATAGGAAATACCAGATAAAATATTGTACTGCATACAGAATTACACAGACGGGACTTTTTTAGCAGATGGTTCTTGGTGTAGAGATAGAGGCAACAATGATGTGGATGGACAGACGCCAAGGCAGTAACAGTTGTTTGTCTCCGGGTAATGGAATTAGGGGTGCTTCTTTCCCATACTGAATTTTCTAATGTACATGCAATAGCAAATGTGAAATCACAATGGAGATTGTAAAAAACCAGAACTGATGTTCCCGCAAACCAGACAAATTGGGCAATCTTTCCCAAAAGGCAGAGGAAAAGGATTAAGAGCTAAAAATGACAAAGGAAGTGACAAGATTTGAGAATCAGGAAATGGATGTACAACCTAAGGCTTAGAGAAATTCTTAAGATGATACCAGAGCTACCAGAAGTTCTTGTCAAAGCAATAACTAACGTATTTTTTTCTCCAGGAATTAAAAAAAAAAAAGTATGCAGATCAAAAGTTTTACTATGAGCCCTGGCTGGTGTAGCTCAGTGAATTGAGTGCTGGCCTGCAAACCAAAGGATCACAGTTTGACTCCCAATCAGAGCACATGCCTGGGTTGCAGGCCAGTTCCCAGCAGGGGACGCATGAGAAGCAACCATACACTGATATTTCTCTCCCTCTCTCCCTCCCTTCCCCTCTAAAGACAAATAAATAAAATCCTTTAAAAAAGTTTTACTATGTTTCAGCCAAACTCAATGAAAAAAGAGTGATAATAGTTAAATTCTACTTTCATTGGCAGGTTAAGAGTGATGCACACATCTGTGTATTTGTGTGTGTGTGTGCGTGTGTTGTACATATATATAATCTCCAGGTTACTTACGAAAGGATGAAAAACTACCCTGGCCCCGGACTTTCTTCAGTTACAACTACTGGAAGATAGGGAAGCTGAGGGACAAACCAATTATATCTTCTCAGATATGAAAAGACAGAGACCAAACCACTCTTCCTTCTTGCAAAGGATACATGCAGGTGAGCCCCAGCTGAATGAGAGACAACTCAAAAGTAACTTCGAGAATGAGGACAATGTAGGATAAAAGGGCGGTGGGTCTTTATTTAATCATCTCAGTTCCAGACTCCGAAATGTGACTGCTGTGTTCTGACCAGTGCATTTTACAGCCCCTGCAGTCTGACCCACGTGCTTCCTCGCTCTTCCCCAGGGCCAGGAAAGAGGCCGACCGGTCCACGGAAGCCTCGGGGAGGCTGACGGATGGAGGGCGCCTCCAGGACACGAGAGGACGGTGAGTCTGCTTCCTACTGTTACAGACACAACAAAAGACTGAGGAACGTGCCACCTCTTTTTCGCCTGGGAAGGTTGAGGCGAGACAACTGCAGAGCTGGGTGCAGGGCGAAGACTGTGTGTGCAGTCGGGGGTCAGGGACGCTCCCACCGACTCCCACCCACTTTTTAAATTGTATTTTATATATTGATTTGAGAGAGAGAGAGAGGAAACCCCGACGTGTTGTCCCCTTGTGTATGCATTCACTGGCCGCTTGTTGCAGGCGCCCTGACCCGCGGGCCCCACGGGCCGCCGCGGTGTATCCGGAGGACGCTCTGACCCACTGAGCCTCCGGGCCAGGCCTCTGCCGGCTTCTCCTAAACGCCTGCATCGGCCTCACATCCTCGCCCCCTCCCACTGGCCTTCCAAAAGGGGTCCGACCCTCGGTGGGACTACGGGGTCGGGGATTTGGGGAGTCAGTTCGTCTCCTGGAGAGACGCTGGCGTTTGTTTGCGATGGCGGTGGCACTGACTGCGGTTTCTTCACGGTGGCTGCGGGCTGTGAGGATGATCCCGGGGAGAGACGGGGTGGCCGGGGGAGGGCCGGGGTGTGGAAAGGGCCGGCGCGCAAAGAGGTCCCCGCACTCGCGAGGCGGCCTTACCCCCTGGCCCGGTGGACACCGTGACCTGCGCGTAGGTGGCTCCCGCGGCGGCCGCCGGGCCCGAGACGCCGTTGAGCGCCGCCACGCGCACGGTGTAGCGCGCCCCTGGCCGCAGGTGCAGCAGCGTGGCGGCGCGCTCGCGGAGCCCGGCCTGGCGCGGCACGAAGGCCACGCGAGGCTCGCACGGCTCGCAGGCGCCCGCCGCCGGGCCCTCGCGGCCACAGCGCAGGCACAGCAGCGAGTACGTGACGTCGGAGCGGCCGCCCGAGTCCGCCGGCGGCAACCAGCGCAGCCTCAGCGCCAGCGGCGAGCGGCTCAGGCTGTACTGCAGGTCCCGCGGTGCGGACGGCGGCCCTGCGGGGCACGGGTGCGGCGTCAGGGGCAGCGCGGGGCTGGCGCGGCGAGGGTGGGGGGCAGCGGCCAAGTACGGGGTGGGGAGACCCGGGCCGGGGAGGGGGAGGGTGTGGGAGTGGGGGGCGGCCAGGGAGGGGCGGGCGGAGGTTAGTGGGCGGATGAGGGGGGGAGGATGGGGACCCAGAGCGAAGCGTGAGGGGTGTGAGTCCGGCCCCCCAGCTGGAGAGAGAGGCGAGGGGAGGTCGGCGGATGGGGGCTGTCCACCCAGTGACCTGCCTAGAAGCCCAACCTCCTCCCACTGTCGGAATTCTCCGCCTTTCTCCAACCCAAACCCCGGCCCCCATCCCCACCGAGGCTCTCCTCCCTCCATAACTGTCGCCGGCCCGCAAGCCTTTCTTTACCCTCCGCAGTGCGCAGTGCGGAGCCCCCTGCCCTTGCTGACACTTGGTCCGACTTTATTACCCCCCCCCGCCGCCTCCCCGCAGCGTTCCGGAGGGGGACTCACGCGTGCAGGAGGCCCAGGGCGGGTCAGTGGGCGAGCGCGCGTAGCTGTCCAGGCAGGCGCAGGACGTGGAGGCGTTTTCCAGCGCCCGGCTGTGCTCCGGGCACGGCGAGCAGAGGGGCCTCCGCGAGGACACCTTGTAAAACCCTGGGGGACAGGCTGCCGGGAGGGGCCGCGTGAGAAGGAGGGGCTCCTCCACAGCCCCTTTCTCCCCCACTGTCCTGCCTGCCCTTCTTAGAGGGGGGACTTCTCGCCTCTGAGTGTGGGGTTCTTAGCTATTCCAGGACTGCCCGGTGGGGTGGCAGTTCCCAACTAAACGACCCCATGCTACTTAACCTTAGTAAGAGCTCAACGTGGTTAGCACACTGGACTGTTTTGCTTCTAGCAATTCTTCTAGTCCTCACAACGACCCACGAGGTACGTGCTTTATCCCCATTTTGAAAATGAGGGCACCAGGGCTCAGAGCGGCTAAGTAACTCATCCAATGTCCCACGCCTAGTAAACCTGGGATTCCACCCCCAGCAGCCTGGTGGTTCTGCAGCCCCAGTGCCCTCGGGAGGACAATGGGCCCAACTTTCCAGTTTGGGCGTGAAGAGGTAAGAGAGGTGTGTCCGCAGTTGCCAAGGAACAGACAGACACCCAGGCGCTCCCAGAAACACAGAGGCAGACCCTCTGACACACACATGTTGTCAAAGCTCATCCTCCCACCAGTCTTCAGGATCAGTGCATCCTACATCCTTGAACCACACACTTGGTTCCAGTTTGAGAGTGGAGCCAGCCAGGTGGAGGGGAGGGGAGTGGAGAAGAGGAAGGGACAGTGACGTTTCCCTGCTTCTGGTCTTGACACCTCAGGAATTACTGTGCTTCTCTCTCACCTCCACCAGAGCACCGGTTGTTAGAGCCGAGGCTTTTATGACTAAGCAACCTGGGTTTGCTGCAAAGTGGCTTACCACTTACTTGCTGTGTGGCCTTTGACAGGTCGATGGACCTCTCTGAGCCTTGTGTAGAATACCTCCCAAAGGTTGTTGGAGGATTCACTGAGACAAAACAAGTAAACTGCTCAGCTGAGTACAGACAACATTTACACAATAATGGTACTAATTACCGTTGCTCCACTGCAAGCCTGAAGTGGAAACTGCCGCACCCCAAGTGGGAACTGTAAGAAAATTCTCACCAGCTGGGCCAGGGAGGGGGGCAGTGGCTCCTGGCCCCTCCTCTCAGGGCCCCGGTGGTTCTTACATTGTCCCCTTTGCTCCACCAGCACTTCTCTGTCCCTCCTCTGTCATTTAGCTGGTTATGGAAGGCTGGCTGCCCTCCAGCCCCAGGAAGGCAGGGATACAGACTAGTCCTTGGCAAGAAGTTCCAGCCTGCCTAGGAGAAGAGGGGAAGAGCTGAAGGTCTCGGTCATCTGGAAGGCTGGGTCTTGGGAGGGTCCCTCTTGCCTGGAATCCCCTGCAACCCAGCGCTGGGGCAGGGCTTCAGCAGCCCAGGGGGCTTTGGAAGTCTCCACCTCAGAGCAAAGTATGGGACCCACTAACTGTGGCCCGTGGCCGGCGAGCAGCAGCGACCCCAGCTGGGATTCAGAGGTCCTGGGTTCCAGTGTTGGCTCTGCCACTTCCTTTGCCTTCCTGGCCTCAAGAAACCCTTGGTCAAACAAAAACAGCAACCATAGCCTGCCCGCCTCCATGGTAAAATAAGAGAGGCGATCTGTTTGCAGGTCTCACGGCTGTAGGGAAAGAATGCTGGAGACGCTGGAGGCCACCCTTCTCCGTGTGTATGTAAGTGGACACGTGTCCCAGAGGCGGGTGGTCCCCTCACAGACAGCATTGGTTATCTCCACTTGGAGAGGCTGTGTTTAGAAGAGGTTTGTGTTGAGGGGCAGACTCAGGAAGGGGCTCCTGACTGCCAGCCCCTCCCTCTCTTCCTCAAGGTCAGAGTCACAATTTCAGAGGCTGTTAGTTTGACGGGCAGAGTCCTCCACAACTCCCCTTGCGGTAACCACCTTCTTCTGAGGCTGCCTCTGCTGAATGATGCTGGTGGTTAGAAGGGGCTGCCTTATGTTGCACCCCAGTCAGCCTCCCTAACTGTGATCACCCCTGGTGCCACCCCATCACAGGTCTCAGTGTGCCCTGAGGAGCCTTACAGGACATCTGCCAGCGTTCCTCTGCTCCGAGGAAGTTTTATAGGATTTGAAGACACAGGTCATGCACCCAAGCTTTCTCCCCAAGTCTTTCAATAATTCCTTTAGTGGCTGGGGGAGGGTCGCTCTCAGTGACTTCTGCTACTACCTTAGTTCAGGCCTTGTGCTCTTCCTCCTGGCCCCTAATTCTTCCTTCTCTAGTCTTTTCTTTTTGGTTGCTGCTTGAGTGAACGTTTGAATATACAAATCCAAACATGTTAGATCCCTGCTTCAAACACTCCCCAATGGTCTAAAGCGTGAAGTCTAAGCTCTGTGTCCCAACATTCGAGACCCTTCATGATCTGCCCCTCCCCCCAGCCCCCAAATGCCCCCTGCCCCAGCCACACTGACTTGTCCAGCCCTGACCATGCCATATTCTCTCCTGCCTCTAGGCTTCTGCACACAGTCCCTGAACTCAGAACGCTCTTAGCTGCCTGAAAGAAAGGCCTTCTCGCCATCTCTCTCCACCCTTAGGAACTCGGTTCTCCCTTCTCCTGCCCCACTTCCCCCAGCTCCCAGTTGTACATATCACGCCCCATGGTAATCACTCATTCACCTGATACGTTTCCATGGGGTACCTACAATACATACCACATCCTGTTATGGACATGGGAGCTGCTGAGACCAACATGACCCATTGCCGCAGCTCAAGAAGTTCCTAGTCCAGCGGTAGAAACACAGGTAAGTAGAACCTTGCGTACCATGGGGCAGGTGCAGAAACAGAGGTTGCAGTGGGTGCTGGAGAGCACAGGGGTGGAGCCTGACTCCACCCGGAGAGCTCAGGAAGGTTCATGTCCCCGAACCCCCTACTAAGCCATATGCTCCCCTAGGGAAGAGATGGTGACATTTATCTGTATCCATACCATGAACCCTTAATAAATGCAGACTTATGTTCTCAATTCTGTATCCATACCATGAACCCTTAATAAATGCAGACTTATGTTCTCAATTCACAATGAGTGCATGACTGAATGAAGAAATGAGAGCAAGTCTCCTCGCTTCCTCCCCTGTCTTCCCACCACTGTGTTAATCCCTCGATTACAGCATATATCGCCCTGTTGTGGTTTTTAAATTTAGGCCATGAGCTTCTTAAGAAACTGTGCCTCATTAATTTCTGTTGTCCTAGCACCCAGAAAGTGGCACGGCTTTAAAAAAAACAAAACCAAAGATACCACTTTATCTTTCTCCATTCAGTGCGCACATCCACAATCCCTCCTCACCCTGAGAGTTCCACAAATATGGAAGAGAAAGAGGGGTCTGTTCCTGGTGCCCCCACAGAACCCTGGACACAGAGGGTCTCCCCCAGGGAGTATGGCGACTCTCTAGTTCAGAGCGGTGCTGGGATATCAGTAGCCATCCAGGGCAGTTCCTAAGCCAATCTCTTTCTCTCTCCCCCTCTCCCCGTCTCTCCCATCCAGGTGCCTGCCTCTGCCGTGCATGTCGGGGCTGGGCAGCCCATTCCCTACGATGTGACCAATCCCATTGGCCCAGTGATTTTCAACCTATGTCATCTAACGGCACACACAAACTGATTACTAAAATTCTGCGGCACACCAAAAATATATTTATTGCTGATCTGACAAAAAATAGGTATAATTTTGATTCATTCACACCAGATAGCTATTATTGTGTTGGCTGTTCTCATTTTTTTTTTTAATTTGATAATCTAGGGGAAAAGAGGTCAGTGCTCCTGACTAAATATTCAGGCATTTCATGTTTTAAAAAAATTCCTGTGGCGCACCAGTGTGTCTCTTGCAGCAAATTCGTGCAGCACACGGGTTGAAAATCGCCGCACCGCCAGCAGCCGGTAGGGTGGGGCTGCTGTAGAGTCCTCCGCACGCACAGGGGAGGCGCCACAGTGTACTAGAAAGAGCGTAAGAGTTGAGCACATCTGGATGCAAGTCCTGGTTTCCCATTTCCTAACTTTGCAAGCAAGGCATTAACCTCTCTGAGCCTCTGTTTCCTCAATTGCGAAATGGAAATAATAATGACATTATTTTATTGCCCTGAATAAATGAGAAGGCCCGTGTGAGGTACTTATCTCAGTGCCTGAAATATAGGCCCCTAACGCCCCCTTACATGGAGTCAGTTCACCTCCCAGTAACTTCACTCACTGGTCCCAGCTGGACCCACTGAAGCTCCACAAAGACTCAGGACTTCCTGGCTCCTCCACTCCCCCCGCCCTGCCTCTCCGGTCCTGGGCTTTCTCCCTCTCCCAGCTGCCACCTGCGGGCTCCACTCCCGAGACACGCCCCCTAGTTCGCCGGGTACCTTCGCAGACGTCGCCGCGTTCCTGGAATCCTGCACTGCAGCTGCAGCGGCCTACGGGCACCAGCCACTCGCCGTCCGCGCCGCAGTGCATGCGCGGAGGGTTGCCGGGCTCTCCCTCGGAGTGCGCCACGCACGTACCGGTCACCTCCACCAGCGTGGAGAAGGCGCTCTCGGCCGCGGTGGCTGGGAACGCCGCCAGGCCCCGCACCGTGGCGCGGCACTGCCTGTAGTAGACGCGCACGGAGACCAGCGCCACGCATGCGCCCACGTCCTGGAAGGCCAGGTGGAAGCCCCGCCGGCTGAGCGGGCCGATCTCGCGCACCTCCGTGTTCAGCTTCATCTTGCGCTCGCCCAGGTCGCCCTGAGTGAAGCTTTCGTCCGCTGCGATCGTGTCGATCTTGCGGGGCCGACTGCTGCCTGGGCGGGGATGCCCGCGGCCCAGGTCGGCCTCGGTTTCCAGGTAGTAGACGTTGAACGTCTCCTTGCAGGTGCCCGTGGCGCCGGGGATGCTGCTGCAGTCGCGCAGTGTGAACTGCAGCTCCACGAAGATGCGCTGCCCGCGGCCGCGGCCGATCCAGCCGGTCTGCAGCCAGTTGTCCTGGTTGGGCTCCAGCACGTTGCACACCTGGTACGTGCGGATGGGGCGGTCGCGCTCGTCCACGCCGCTGATCTCCTCCCACTGAGGAGGAGCAAACACGCGGGCAGCTCAGGGCCAAGGCGCCCCCCGGTAGGTAGGGTCCTGGTGGTGACGCAGACTGAAACCCCGGCCCCATCATTCCGCATTCTCCTCTCCCGCCCAACCCCAGTGGCCCCCTCCACTCGCTAGACTTCCTGATTATGAGATGCAAAGCCAAGAGAAACGTTGGAGACAACCAAGTCCAATTTTTCATTTTATAGATGGAGAAACTGAGGCTCCGGAGTGAGAGGGACTGGGCTAGATATACACATGGAGTTGGCGACAGAGGTGGAAGTGGGGCCTGGAGTCTCTTGCTCTCCACCTAGTGCCCTTTCCATGATGCCAAGCTACTGCCACATGACCACGTGGCCCCACTCCGACCTTGTTTCCAATCCTTTTTAGGATCCCGAGCCCTGCTTATTCCATCAATCCATCAGTAGGTAACACTGATTAGAGGATCTCCTGCGTGTGAGGCACCGCCCAGCATTGGCTCCATCCAGGGGCCACAGTCTGGTCCTAGACACAGCCAGTTCTCTCCTCGCTTACGCTTTTGTATTTACTTCCTTATTTTGACTGTCTGACTTAAGACTCAACATTTTCTAACAGGCGACTCTGGCTCCAAGCCAGGGCTGCCGCAGATCATATGTTCCCAGGAGCATTTCCACCTGATGGAACCAGGGGGAGCTAAAGGGCCCGAGTCCTGGACCACCACAGGGCAGGAGGGGGAGGGTTACACTTACCCCGTTGCTCGGCGATGCAGTCCAGCCCAGCTCAGCCTGGGAGGCTTTAGAATCCAGGAGGATGACTAGGGAGAGGGGAGAACAGAGATGTCGGAAACCCAGAAGGTCAGGATGGTGGGCCCTCCGGTGAGTTCACTGAAAATTTGCTACCTAAAGGGATGGTGAATGTGACCAAGGACACAGACAAGTTTTTCTCACTCCATACATCCCCCAGGAGAGCATGTGAGCAGCTCAAGTCCAGGGACAGGTAGCTACATGATCAGGGAAACAGCCTGTATTAGTTTTCTGTGGCTGTTGTAACAAATTACCACAATCTGGTGGCTTAAAACAGCAGAAATGTATTCTCTTATAGTTCTAGAAGTCAGAACTTGGAAATCAGTTTCATGGGTCTAAAGTCAGGGTGCCAGCAGGATGGGTTTCTTCTGGGTGTTCGGAGGGGAGGTTCCATTTCCTCGACTTCAGCTTCTAGTGGGTCCCCTGCAGTCTTTGGCTTGTGGCCCCTCCTCCATTTTCAAAGCACATCCAGTCTCTGCTCCTGTCAGCCCACCGCCTTCTCCTCTGGCTCTGACTCCTCCCGCATCCCATTTACAGAGACCATTGCAGTGACACCAGGCCAGTCCAAACAATCCAGGGCAATCTCTCCATCTCAAGATCCGTAATTACACCTGGAAAGTCTTTTGCCATTTAGGATGGCATTCACGGGTGTGGGGATTAGGGTGTGGACTTGGGAGGAGTTGTTATTCAGCCTGCCACAGTCCATGGCAGGTACTGTAAGGGTGGTTGTAAAATAGTGTGGGGGGGTGGCATTGTCAGTGACCCTCCAGCATTCCCAGGTTTCTTAAATTATACCTGAGCATCAAGATGAGGGAGAAAGTGAGTGTATCAGAGAATTCCTGTATACAGCCCAGAATCCATGCAGACTCAGGGGCTCTTCTGGGGCCTGGGGTCGTCAAGGAGAGAGGAGTCTTGAACCTTTTTACTCAACTTCTAGGGCCTCTGTGGCAAAGTGAAGATATCCTCTTAGCAGCGGGGGAAATAAAACCCTCTCATTTCCTCATCCAGCCCCTTTCCCAAGGGCTGTCACCGCCACTGCCTTTGGAAGAATGTCCTTTTATATACAAGAACCACGACTTCTGCTGCACCAGTGAGGCTGGGAGTCATTTTCCCTGCAGAAGGCGGCGGTCCAGCATCTGAATTCTGCTCTCAGTATTAGTCCCGGAGAAGCACGGGTCCGGGCAGCGCAACAGCGGCTCAGAGGCAGGAGGCCCGGCCATCGCCACATCTTGGCAGATTACTCCTCTGGGGCTTAGGCAAGTGGATAGGGCTCCAAAGTGAGGGCTTTTAAGAGGGTTGACCCCAACATCATCAGCGACAGTGGACAGGGCCGCCAGCAGCACCCGGATTTCAGTATAACTAACATTACATAGGACATTGCATATTGGAAAGCGTCAGAAATCCAGCGCCCCTACAAACCTCGCAGCTGAAGCCTCAGATTCCAACTCCTCAGGATTCTGCACCTGGATATGACGCCTCTGGATTCAACTGAACGTACAGCTCCCCCAGATTCAGAATCAGAGGCAAGACCCGGGCTCTGATACCGCGGGCAGCCGCAAACCCGACCACGCGGACCGCTCTGGGGAGTCCACCCTCCTAATTCAGCACTGCGGTGCGGACAGCTCCTGGATCAGCACGTCGGGCAGCTCCCGGATCCAGCTCCCCCGCCCACCACCAGCTTTCGGCCTCCAGCCGGCCGCACGATGGTCCCCTAGCCCCCGCGGTTCGGGCTCCATCCCGTCCACCCCCCACCCCGCCCCACTCCCATCTCACCTCCGCATCTCCCCGCTCCTCCGCTCTCTTCTCCCCGCCCCCTCACTTCCCACCTCCAATGGCCCAGCCTGTCCGTCTCACCGGCCCCTGGACCGCTGCCTCTGGCTCCCGCGGTTCCCGGTCTCTTTCTTTCCCAGCCTCCCCGGTCTCCAGCCCCCGAGCTCCTCAGCGCCCCTCTCCTCTCCATTGCTTAGCCACCTTTTTCTCTGTCTCTCTAGTTCTTTTGCTTTGGCTGATCGCATGCTTCACACCCTAGTACAGACTCCAGTTTCTCCATACTACTCCACCACCGCTCCGGCTCTTCAGCCCCCTATCTCTTGGCATCCCAGGCTCCAAGAACAGTCGCCAGTCTCCTCACCTTCCTCAGCAGTCCCGGGCCTCCCTGGTCCCAAAAGCAACGCAAGAGAAAGTGGCATCAGGCAAACGAGCAGGCGCAGCGGATGTGGGCCAGCGCCGGTCTCCATGGTCCGCAGACCGAGCTGTCAGTGCAGCGGCGGCTCAAAGCCGCGCCAGCCCCGGCCCCGCTGAGCAGCGCCCCCAGACCCCAGCACCAGTGCGGGGCGGGATCTCACCGGTGACCGTCAGCCGTGGGGACCAATCACTAGGCACGGCCGCTGGAGCTCCCCCAATGCCCGCCGGCAGAGGGTAGAGGGGTGGAGTTTCATAGGCCAGGGGCGGAACCGCGAACTGGAGGGGGAAAGGAAGGGGTCCCTGCGGTCTTCAGACCTTGGGGGGTGGGGCAGTACTGAGCGCTGGCTTGATTCCTGGGAGGGGGTGAGCTGGTGTCCGTGGCCCCAAGCTTCAACCTCAGCCCCTCATTGCTGAGAAGTAGAGAATGTGGGCGTGGCTTAAGAAGGGGGCGAAATTCAGGGAGCCAGCGACACTTGCAGCCTCTGTGCTAGCCTGCAAGGTCTCTTGTTCCCAGGACTTGCAGGGGTTCTGATGTCCTGCCCCCCAAATCCGGGAGCTCCTCTATCTCCCAGCCCTTGGCTTCTTCAGCGTCTGCGGCTCCTGGTGTCTCACGGCTGGGTCCGCCCCCTTCTCTCCCTGCCCTCTGCTCACATACGCGCGCACACGCACACACGTACACACACACACACACACACACACACACACCCTGGCTGGAGGAGGGGGCCAAGCCCACCCCTGGGAGCTGCTTGAGAAAGGAGAGCAAAGTGGGAAAGAGTCCCGCCCTACCAGGAATGCTTCCAAAGCTGGGAAACCATGCAGATGCTGGGATGGGGCAGTGGTAGATTTTGCATGAATGATCGATTTCATAGGTTCTTGCTCTTGCTGCCAGGACGCACGTAGCACTGCCCACAGCCAACCGTGCCCCGCTCCCCCCGCCCCACAGTCCGCTCAGAGCCTGGAGTCCCCCCTTTGCTAATCCCTCTCCATCCACCCCAGGGGATTGGTGAGGGGTGCTGCGCCTGGACTACTAGGCGTCTGTGGGGAAGGTGGAGCAATCCTCGCCAAGTTCAACCAGCGCCAAAGAAGCCTCAAGGAAATGTGGACCGCGACCTCTATCTAGTGAAGGTCATTTGTGTGCAAGCTGAGGGTTTAAGGCGTTGGTGTGGGAAGGGTTGGCGCCCTCCAGGACGAGGAAGGCGGCTACTGAGCGCCACCATCTGGGCTGCACTGGAAAGGAGATGGCTCCACCCACCCTGTGGCTTCTCGGAGCTTTCCTTGGGGAAACCCAACCCCTGTCTCTCCCTTTTGTAGTTGGAGCAGTTCTTGAGAATGAGTGGGAGTCCCGGGTCTACATGACCTGTGTGACCCGAGCGTCCGTGCGGTTTGTATGTGTGTATCCCTCACTCCTCCAGCCACGAGCCAGTGGGGCCCACGCTCTGCGCCAAGGACGCTCGCGTCGAGGGCCTTGTCTCTGCCACAGGCACTTCCCTGAGCCCCTAGTGTGATGAAATTTTCTGGCAATGCAGAGCGCTAGCCGTTTACAAGCTGCTTTCATGTGTCATTTCTGTGTGTGTGTGGGGGGGGACGTTTACAAGCACACTTGCTTGCTTACAGACATACTTGCTGGGCAGTAGCAATAAAAGTGGTTGGGAGGAATTGGATTCCTTTGCCTGTAGACAGAGAGATCCTCAGAAGGGCTGGGGCTCCGACTCCACCGGACACTGAAGCCCACCTAGGACACCGAAGGACGTATGGCGTCCAGCCAGCGCCTGGGTGCTGACCGGGCCCCTGAAATCAGATCTACCCGAAGGACTCTTCCACCCCCTCCTTCCCGTCTTCATTCTGCTCACGCTCACTTTTCTCCCCCACACCCCCAGAGTTGGGAGATGGTATTTTTAGAAGCTGCTCAGAGACCCAGGACTCCTTTCATTTCAAAAGGAGTTTTCACTCCGTCACCCGTCACCCCTGTCTTCAAAACCAGGTCCCACCCCCTTGGCAGTCTCTAAGGTGCCAACTACTGCAGAGATTTCAGGGCAGAGGCTCTGGCCCTTGGTGCTAAAACAAAATACAGACTCTACACAAGCTTCGCAAGGATCGTCCCCAAGACAAACCTACAGGGGAATTTTTCTGGGCAGTCACATAGGATGCCCCGTAAACCCCTGGCTGTCAGGAGTCTGGTTCCTGTCCTCTCCCACCACATGCACCTGCAGGCGCCTCAGGGGGGCGGCAGAGCTGGACCCTGGGAATGGAGGAGAGAAGAGAAAAAGATGTAGTGAAATAAGACTTGACTTTCTTCTTCTGGACAATTCATTTATGATAAAAACAAAACGGAGAAGCCCCAGAGTATGGGGATACATGCAAATCAGCCAGATCTGAGTAAGAGTCGCTCCAAGGTGGGACGCCCCTCTAGCAGCAGGCTGGGGAATAGACATCTCGTGAAGAAATTCACGAGGGCCTTAGAAGGACACAGTTTATTGTGCCCTTTAATTGCTGGGGGCCAGTCAACCGAGGGCCAGCTTAGATGCCTCCCTGAAATAGTGGGTTTGGGGAGTGGGTCAGGGGGTAGGGTGAGGGACGTGAGTATAGAGATGAGCTTTCTGGCTATGGTTCTGAACCCACCAGAGTCTGGATCCTGCCACTTTCTCTCTTTTTAAAAGATTTTATTTATTTACTTTTAGAGAGAGAGGAAGGAAGTAAGAAAGAGAGGGAGAGAAACATGGGAGAGATACATCAGTTGGCTGCCTCTCACTTGCCTGCATCTGGGACCTGGCTCACAACCCAGGCATGTGCCCTGACTGGGAATTGAACCAGCAACCTTTCGTATCAGAGTGCGGCACTGAGTCCACTAATCCACAGCAGCCAGGGCCTGATCCCCCATCTTCAGCTGGACTTGGGACATTTTGGCTACTGCACTCCAATCCTTGGCCCCGGGGCTGCTGTGCACTCCTCCAGCCGATAACTAATGTCCAGTGGGTGGGGTCTCCAGGAGACAAGCAGCCTTACTCCCTAGGGTAGGAGTGGAGGGGCCTGGGACCAACGCAGAAGCTCCCGTTCTCTCTTCTAGTCCTCCCAGACCGTATCTGGGATGGGATGGAGCGATGGTTCTGCGCCTACCTCACGGTCTCCAAGGTAATGGGGGAGAACACCAAATAATGATACATCATCTTCCGTGGAGCAGATCCAGCTTTACCACAGCCTCTGTCACCAAGTTACTGAAAGCTGCAAACCCAGGGGCTGAAAACTTGGTCTGTTTCTTCTGCACAGATTCAGAAAGTACATTAAGCCTGGCAGGACAGGACAAGTCCTCTCCTCCATGGAGAGGACTAAGCTTCCTCCAGAGAACTCAGGCCAAGCCCTGGGCTCCGGAAAAAGGACAGGGAAGGCGCAAATAGCCAGGGGGAGCCCTACTGCTTAAAGAAACAGCTCCAATCTGTCTCTTTCCTCTTACCCACCTCCCAACCCCTAGCTTAAGAAAGAAATAAACATATTTAGGGTGGATTCTTTTTTCCCCTCTCATAAATAGTTACATTCATTTTTAGGAATCATGCCATACTTCATAAATGTTGCATCCTTGAAGTCCCCACTCTGGTGCACCCATGAGTGTAACTCCAGGGAGTGAGAGGGACACGCAGACAGCACACCGGTACACGTGCACACTCGCACACACAAGGTGTGCAGATCCTAAAGCAAAGTGAGTAAAAGCACGCCAGGCTCAGGCAGACAGGACACTAACTCTCTTGGGCGAGATGGATTAAAGTGTGTGGGTCTGTGCCCAGGAGATGTCCCGCAGGGGCATGAGCTCGGGTGGTGGGGACTGGGGGGCGGGGGGGGGGGGGGAAAGGCTCTGGGAGGAAGCCAGGTCCCCACACCGCGTGGAGGCCGAGGGAACGCAGACCCGAGTGCAGCGGGAAGCAGCCACAGGCCTCCAGTCTGGGCGAATTCTTTTCTAGGACAAGAGATTTGCTGGCAAAGTAAGATGGAGGCTATAAACAAATGTTTCAACTGTAATTTTCTAAGGTAAGAGAAAACATATTTGTCTTTTTAAAACAAATTAAACAAAACATTTAATTCATTGACTTTGAAAATTAAGCAAAGAGCGCTGTGGATTGAGCACTGGCCTGCTAACCAAAGGGTCGTTGGTTTGATTCCCAGTCAGGGCACATGCTGGGCCAGCTCCCCAGTGTGGGGTGCACAAGAGGCAGCCATACACTGATGTTTCTCTCCCTCTTTTCCCCTCTGTCTAAAATAAATAAACAGCCCTGGCTGGTGTGGCTCAGTGGATTGAGTGCCAGCCTGGGAACCAAAGGGTTGCAGGTTCTATTCCCAGTCAGGGCACATGCCTGGGTTTCAGGCCAGCTCCCAGGTGGGAGTGTGTGAGAAGCAACCACACACTGGTATTTCCCTACCTTTCCTTCCCCCTCTCTAAAATAAATGAAATGAATGAAATGAAATCTTTAAATGAATGAAATAAAGATTTTAAAATAAATAAAATCTTTTAAAAACTTTAAAAAAAAGAAAATTAAGCAAAAAACCCCTTTAGATGACCAAACACAACATGATCTCAACGAGCCTCTGCTCCCTTCTCTGTAAACGAAGAATGAAAATATTTGTCAGAGTTAACGTGAGGTTGGAATATAATTTATGTGTGGCCCAGAACAGTGTTTGGCATAGTTCTAGGATGTTTTATTATTCAACTCCATGGTTAATTAAGGTAAAAATCAGAAAGAAAAAAGGGAAAGGATAGAGGCAGGTTAGGTGGTGAAGCAGGAAGAGAGCGAGAGGATTAGAGAAAGTGTCGTGAAGAAAAGACGGACCGAGGGAAGGAAAGAGGCAGCCATGTGAGAAGCACGGGCTAGGACGCAAGGAGCCGGAAGGAAACGTGTTACAAGAGACAGGAATATCGTCAGCGCAGGCTGGCTGGCCAGCTGCCAAGTGGCTTCAGAGGTGACACTTACCTCGGTGAATTCTTCAAGGCCCAAGCTCATACACTTGACCTACCAGTTCTCAGAGAGAGCCTGTACCCTGGGGGGTTGGGCAGTAGATCATCCTAACTTCGCTCCTTTCCTGCTGGAGCCAAAG